AACACATGTATCAGCTCCATCGTTACATGGAGGTCTATCGTTACATGGACGTCATACATGTATCAGGTCCATCGTTACATGGACGTCATACATGTATCAGGTCATCGTTATATGGACGTCATACATGTATCAGGTCATCGTTACATGGACGTCATACATGTATCCGGTCCATCGTTACATGGACGTCATACATGTATCAGGTCCATCGTTACATGGACGTCATACATGTATCAGCTCCATCGTTACATGGACGTCATACATGTATCAGGTATATCGTTACATGGACGTCATACATGTATCAGCTCCATCGTTACATGGACGTCATGCATGTATCAGGTCCGTCGTTACATGGACGTCATACATGTATCAGGTCATCGTTACATGGACGTCATACATGTATCAGCTCCATTGTTACATGGACGTCATACATGTATCAGCTCCATCGTTACATGGACGTCGTACATGTATCAAGTCAGTCATATCATAGACGTCATACATGTATACAGCCAGCTAGTCCAAGTCATCAACTAGACCATGTCATCACCTGATTGCATCATCTAGTCATGGGGTCTCTCTTGAAAAACACCCACTCTCCATTGCCCCGTCCACCAAGCGGTTTGGTGTCTACCTACTGCCTGATGCTGTGACGTGGTACACACACATCTATGACGTGATTCGCCATGATCTGGCAACATGGACGCACCATCTGCCAGATTGTACTTTACCCAGTGCTATCTGGGGGTGTACGTTTATCTCTGGCGACACACTAGGAAAACAAGCTCATTAGCAACAGATTGAATAGACAGCACCAGTGTGGCTCTGTTATTTACACAAACTAACCCTGGGTTCAAACATTGCCCTAACTCAAAGACGACAGCCAAACACTTCGGTGACCATCAATACTATATGAAAAGATTATTGCCATCACTTCCTAACAACCATCCCAACAACAACCACCACCACTTCCTGTTACGTGAAGGTCGACCTGTGACTGATGGAAGGTCGACCTGTCACACACATTGGTCTAAGCCTCATCAATTCCCTGACAAACTCCAGCCCCCCCCCCCCCCCCCACCCCTCCAATCAAATGGCGTGATATCATCCCTGGATTGTATTGCACAAGGGAAGATGGCGGCTGGATGTGTCAGCCAATCCAATCAAAGTACTAGAGTCACGTGAGACCACAAGACACATGAGCAATAGGACAACAAACCAGAGCTGGGCTTGTCGCCTGGGTTTTCCCCACAAATCTCGTCCATTACCCGACATAATCCCTGGCTATTGTTTCAAGCTAAACACTTTGACTTGGGGAAAACCCCAGACACAGTTAACAGAACATCGTGTGGGACAGGAGAGGGGTGCATGGCTGGGACTACGTACACCAGCAGTTTCCGTAAATACTTCAGTACAACACCCCTTGACGACTTGTGTCACACTCCTTATGTAACTTGTCATTATAAAACCAAACCTACGGCAATGGTCACCAAAAAACCCAACCTACAAACCTGGTCACCAAAAAACCCAACCTACGGCCCTGGTCACCAAAAAACCCAACCTACAAACCTAGTCACCAAAAAACCCAATTTACAAACCTGGTCACCAAAAAAAAACCCAACCTACAAACCTAGTCACCATAAAACCCAACCCACAAACCTGTTCACCAAAAAACCCAACCAACAAACCTGGTCACCAAAAAACCCAACCTACAAACATGGTCACCAAAAAAAAACCCAACCTACAAACCTGGTCACCAAAAAAACCCAACCTACAAACCTAGTCACCATAAAACCCAACCTACAAACCTGGTCACCATAAAACCCAACCTACAAACCTGGTCACCATAAAACCCAATCTACAAACCTGGTCACCAAAAAACCCAACCTACAAACCTGGTCACCAAAAAACCCAACCTACAAACCTGGTCACAAAAAAACCCAACCTACAAACCTGGTCACCAAAAAACCCAACCTACAAACCTGGTCACAAAAAAACCCAACCTACAAACCTGGTCACAAAAAAACCCAACCTACAAACCTGGTCACAAAAAAACCCAACCTACAAACCTGGTCACCAAAAAACCCAACCTACAAACCTAGTCACCATAAAACCCAACCTACAACCCTGGTCACCAAAAAACCCAACCTACAAACCTGGTCACCCAAAAACCCAACCTACAAACCTGGTCACCCAAAAACCCAACCTACAAACCTGGTCACCAAAAAACCCAACCTACAAACCTGGTCACCAAAAAACCCAACCTACAAACCTGGTCACCAAAAAACCCAACCTACAAACCTGGTCACCCAAAAACCCAACCTACAAACCTGGTCACCAAAAAACCCAACCTACAAACCTGGTCACCCAAAAACCCAACCTACAAACCTGGTCACCCAAAAACCCAACCTACAAACCTGGTCACCAAAAAACCCAACCTACAAACCTGGTCACCCAAAAACCCAACCTACAAACCTGGTCACCAAAAAACCCAACCTACAAACCAGGTCACCAAAAAACCCAACCTACAAACCTGGTCACCAAAAAACCCAACCTACAAACCTGGTACAAGCAAGCCATAAATTATTAGTTTGTCATATGAAAATACTGTCACAAAAACGTAGGATAAATAAAACCATAATACCCCTACAGCCCCGATAAGCCCACAAGATCACCCACAATGCTCGCGTGTTTGCCCTATGGTATAACGTGCTGTCATAGCCTGTCAAATCCAACCAATAACCGACATTCGCATTTACTCAACTATCTCCAACGATCAAGAAATATTGATTTTCTGTTTTTAAACTTTCAAGTTGAAGCGAACTTAAATACATAACGCGGCCGGTTATTTCTTATGTTTCTATTGCTAGTCCCACTAAATCTAGCAGTTAAAAACCAGAAACTACACGAAACTGTGAGGTGTCTCTTACTTGGAGGGACCATGTCTATTAAATAATGGTTAGGGCACAAGGAAGCTAGCCAAGGTGAAGGTCGAGTGTCTCCCCCCCCCCCCCACTCCCCCGGGAAGTGGACACTAGTCTGGTGTGAAGTGTTGCCAAAAGGCGCAGGCCAAAAGGTCAGCTGATCATCAACCAATCAACAACCTGCAGGGCTAACCAGCCCATCATTTCAATACAGCGGGGAACTTGTGTACGACATCAACATCATGGCGACATGAGGGTGTGTGTGGGGGGGGGGGGGGAACATGAGGGGGTTTGGGGGGGGGGGGCGACATGAGGGTGTTTGTGTGTGTGTGGGGGGGCACACAATGTTCTATTCATTATGTGATGTCTGTATGCGGGTGGTTAGACTTGCAAATTTAAAAAAAAAAAAAAAACCTGTTATCTACAACATGACTGCAGCTGTCGATGGCGCACACAAAAAGACGAAGTAAAAATATAACACCCCCCCCCTCTCTTTATACACACCCCATCCTGATGGAGACAGAAATAAGTAAAAAGCATGCGGTGTTTTACTTGAATGATTTCACTGGAGGGTGGCCAAACAAAGAGTAAAAATAATTAGGCTTAGCAAAACAAAGCAGCCAGCCCGGCAAGTGTGGATCGATAGTGTTGATTAAGTTGGCCAGGTCGACGTCGCAAGAGTACATGCTCCATATTTACACGAGACAGTAGGTCACGGACAAAGGGACTCAACTCCAGCTTTCTTGTATTCGTGTAAGCCAATTTTTCCCCCGCTCACAGGAGAGAGATTAAAATGGTAGAAATTGTGCTCATGTTATGAGGTGTGGAGGCGACAGCTGGGTGAAGGGGGCAGGGGGGGGGGGGGATCAGAGGGAGGAATCATAAAAAGGCGTCACCCTAGAATAAGAATGGTAGGGTTCTTTATCGTTTTAATAATGAGTGGTACAGTGTCAATAGCACACCCCCCCCCCCCCCACCAGATTTATATAAAAAAGATTGAGCATCACCGTCAACATGAAATGTGCGGGGTACACAGAGGGTCATATTGCTACAATACGATGTAGCACCAGACAGACAGAGACCACATCTGGCCCCATCTAGGATGAGTACAACATGATTGGGGCTTGTGTGTAGAAAAAAACCAGACAGTGGACAGGCCAACATTTCTGTCATACGACTGACTGAAGTCATAAAGCTGACTTTACTCATACGCCTGACTTAAGTCATACTGCTGCTGACTGATCATAAAGCTGTATTAATTAAACACCTTTCTAGTGTTTACCACTTTACAATGCGCATTATCAGCAAACTGGAGATAACCAAGGTTTTTTTTCAAAGCAAGGATAGATAGGGTTATCTTCTCCTGAATGAGCAGGAATCTAATTTTTACTGCAAGTAATCTGTTGCTAAATAAGTGCCCATTCATTTATGATGTCCACAAAAAATATTAACATTTTAGGTTTTAGAATCTGCTAAAAATAGTGTTTTCTCTATATCCCAAAAAAACAGACACAGAGAACTGAACATTTTTTTATGGAAAAAGTATTTAAAGAAAATTTTCTGTAGTCATATTACAGTGAAGCCCCAGTGATTTCATGACAATTATTTACATTTTCTTAACCCAGAGGCACTAATTATATAAATATAGATACAGTGACTGAATCACTGATTAAAGTTACAAATTTAGTATGTAGAGTGAGTAAAATTGAGTTTGTTATTTCAATGTTAAAATTTAACATTATGAAGTCTACACGGAACGGGCATTCTTTATATCAAACTAAACTAATTGAAATATGAAGGTTATATATTGCATGTATGTATTTATCTTTCCATACAGAAATTTTGGGTGTTAGGTTTAGAGTGGCTGGGCTACCTGTTTCCATACACACAAATGATTGACATTTACCCTGGAGACCTTACAGGGTGTGAGCGTTGTGTTTGGCTCATGTGTTCCCTCATACATGGATATGAACATAAAAACATATGGGCTAGTTGTATCTTAAAGCTCTACATGCTAGACCTAACAAAGACCTAACAAAGAACACGTACATGCAAGACTTGACATAAAACACCTGAACCTACCTTTGTGCTCACTTCCTGTTGATGACCTGCGGGAACTACTGCTGGAACTTTTACCTGTGGCCAGACACACAGACACATAAGCTAAACTAAAAAACTTTTATAGCAACACACACAAACACATAAGCAAAACTAAAAAACTTTAACGGCCACACACACAAACACATAAGACACACAAACACATAAGCAAAACTAAAAAACTAATGGCCAGACACACAAACACATAAGCAAAATTTAAAAATTCAACGGCCACACACACAGACACATAAGCTAAACTAAAAAACTTAATGGCGACACACACAAACACATAAGCAAAACTAAAAAACTTAATGGCCACACATACAAACACATAAGCAAAACTAAAAAACTTAAATAGCCACACACACAAACACATAAGACACACAAACACATAAGCAAAACTAAAAAACTTAAATAGCCACACACACAAACACATAAGCAAAACTAAAAAACTTAAATGGCCACACATAAACACATAAGCAAAACTAAAAAACTTAATGGCCACACATACAAACACATAAGCAAAACTAAAAAACTTAAATAGCCACACACACAAACACATAAGACACACAAACACATAAGCAAAACTAAAAAACTTAAATAGCCACACACACAAACACATAAGCAAAACTAAAAAACTTAAATGGCCACACATAAACACATAAGCAAAACTAAAAAACTTAAATGGCCACACATAAACACATAAGCAAAACTAAAAAACTTTAACAGCCACACACATAAACACATAAGCTAAACTAAAAAACTTAATGGCGACACACACAAACACATAAGCAAAACTAAAAAACTTAATGGCGACAAACACAAACACATAAACAAATCTAAATAACTAACGGCTACACACATAAGCAAAACTAAAAAACTTTAATGACCGGATAAATAAACACTTACGCAAAACAAAACAAAAATAACAAATGTGTAGCTCAAAATTTCTGGTCTGGCAAACACACAAGACAGAATAGGCAAATGATTCCATGAATCAAATGGGAAACACAGTGTTAGAAGTACAACACTAAACAAATATTGCTCTCTGTCCAACACCACAACATGTGCAAGGGGAACAACAAATTATTCAGCTAATGTATGTTTGTGTAGAAAGGCACCATAATAGCCCCAAAATAATTATGATTAAATACAACAACAAACAGCAGCTCACATCAAACTGACAAGCAGCCCCCTACAACCACCCCCCCCCCCCTACCAACAGTGCTATACTGCCACTGCCCCCCCCACCACCCCCACAATCCCCCTCACCTGACTGCTGGGCCAGGGATGAAGCAAGTTGACTTGACTGTCTGATCAGAGACACCCTGTAGAAGTAGTTGCGCCAGAAGGTCTCCTCGTTAACCCTGTGCAATCAGACAACAAGCCCAATTTAATACACATTAAAAACTTAATTAATTACAAAACTGTTAACAAGATTCTCATAAGTCAAGATGTCAGCTGATTTGTCAACAAATAATTGGCTTAAGTTCATGTAGGTCATGATTTGTGCTGTCACATAGCTAGATGACAAATGTTAACAGTGGCCAGTAAGACAAGACCCAACCACAGCAAGAGATGCTTGGAATAAATAAAGGCACATTTCAAGTTTAATTACTCCTAATACACAAATATTTCAGAGCTTAGTTTTGTGGCTGCAGACTTTATTAATCATAATACTACAGTTGATTTTATGTTTGGATATTACCATGTTATTGAGTCTGTAGTCTACCAATGTGTTATGATTGTCAACAATGCTATCATGTATATGATTTGTTAAAACTTGAGTGCTTTTGTAAAAATCCATTTTTTAATGGATTAAAAAGCAATTTGATATGGAAGTATATTAGACAGCTTTGATTTAAGTAAGCGGCAACAGTTGTTAGCATTACAGTTGTTAGCATTACAGTTGTTAGCATTACAGTTGTTAGCATTACAAAACAGAGTTGGTTGAGCTGTTTAATGTAGGGATATGGTGGTGAGAAAAAGTTGGACCATAGATGGTTAGGGTAATTTTAAAACCAAGAAAAAGTTGGACCATAGATGGTTAGGGTAATTTTAAAACGAAGAAAAAGTTGGAGAACATACTGCTTGGGCACCAAATCAAATCTCATCTTCTGAAGATTGGGGTCCTCTTGTAGTGTGGCCAGTGCTATGGGGTACGCACTGCTGAAGTCAAACTGAAACTGAACACCTGATGGTGGATTCCTCACAAAGTTCCTCTTATCCTGGGAAAAGGTCAAAGTTCTGTGTCAACATCATTTGGAGAGAGGAAAATAATCTCACTAAAAAAAATTTGGATAGAGCCTTAAACAGGACAAGGAGGGGAGCCATATTTGATTTTTCTAATCTCTGGGCAGTTACCAAGATGTGACTGATACAGCACAAATGGTGGTCTGAGCATGGTAATGGATGAGTTACTGAACCTGAAGCTAAACTGGGCTCTGAATAGAAACATGAAGGGTGTTTTAAAATTACCAGCAACTATAAAAAGTACTTGGGGCAACTGAGATAAGGCTGATTGTAAATAATTTTTTTATTTTATTTTATAAATTGTCTTATATTTAAAAAATTCTCCCCCCATCCCTACTAACATATCAACACAAATAAAGCTATCCTATGAAGACAAGTATCAACACAAATAAAGCTATCCTATGTAGACAAGTATCAACACAAATAAAGCTATCCTATGAAGACAAGTATCAACACAAATAAAGCTATCCTATGAAGACAAGTATCAACACAAATAAAGCTATCCTATGAAGACAAGTATCAACACAAATAAAGCTATCCTATGAAGACAAGACAAGTATCAACACAAATAAAGCTATCCTATGTAGACAAGTATCAACACAAATAAAGCTATCCTATGTAGACAAGTATCAACACAAATAAAGCTATCCTATGTAGACAAGTATCAACACAAATAAAGCTATCCTATGAAGACAAGTATCAACACAAATAAAGCTATCCCATGAAGACAAGTATCAACACAAATAAAGCTATCCTATGAAGACAAGTATCAACACAAATAAAGCTATCCCATGAAGACAAGTATCAACACAAATAAAGCTATCCTATGTAGACAAGTATCAACACAAATAAAGCTATCCTATGAAGACAAGTATCAACACAAATAAAGCTATCCTATGAAGACAAGTATCAACACAAATAAAGCTATCCTATGTAGACAAGACAAGTATCAACACAAATAAAGCTATCCTATGAAGACAAGTATCAACACAAATAAAGCTATCCTATGAAGACAAGTATCAACACAAATAAAGCTATCCTATGAAGACAAGTATCAACACAAATAAAGCTATCCTATGAAGACAAGACAAGTATCAACACAAATAAAGCTATCCTATGAAGACAAGACAAGTATCAACACAAATAAAGCCATCCTATGTAGACAAGTATCAACACAAATAAAGCTATCCTATGAAGACAAGTATCAACACAAATAAAGCTATCCTATGAAGACAAGTATCAACACAAATAAAGCTATCCTATGAAGACAAGTATCAACACAAATAAAGCTATCCTATAAAGACAAGTATCAACACAAATAAAGCTATCCTATGAAGACAAGTATCAACACAAATAAAGCTATCCTATGAAGACAAGTATCAACACATATAAAGCTATCCTATGTAGACAAGTATCAACACAAATAAAGCTATCCTATGTAGACAAGACAAGTATCAACACAAATAAAGCTATCCTATGAAGACAAGTATCAACACAAATAAAGCTATCCTATGAAGACAAGTATCAACACAAATAAAGCTATCCTATGTAGACAAGTATCAACACAAATAAAGCTATCCTATGAAGACAAGACAAATATCAACACAAATAAAGCTATCCTATGAAGACAAGTATCAACACAAATAAAGCTATCCTATGAAGACAAGACAAGTATCAACACAAATAAAGCTATCCTATGAAGACAAGACAAGTATCAACACAAATAAAGCTATCCTATGAAGACAAGTATCAACACAAATAAAGCTATCCTATGAAGACAAGTATCAACACAAATAAAGCTATCCTATGAAGACAAGTATCAACACAAATAGAGCTATCCTATGAAGACAAGTATCAACACAAATAAAGCTATTCTAATGAAGACAAGTATCAACACAAATAAAGCTATCCTATGTAGACAAGACAAGTATCAACACAAATAAAGCTATCCTATGAAGACAAGTATCAACACAAATAAAGCTATCCTATGAAGACAAGTATCAACACAAATAAAGCTATCCTATGTAGACAAGTATCAACACAAATAAAGCTATCCTATGAAGACAAGTATCAACACAAATAAAGCTATCCTATGTAGACAAGTATCAACACAAATAAAGCTATCCTATGAAGTATCAACACATATAAAGCTATCCTATGAAGACAAGTATCAACACAAATAAAGCTATCCTATGTAGACAAGTATCAACACAAATAAAGCTATCCTATGAAGACAAGTATCAACACAAATAAAGCTATCCTATGAAGACAAGTATCAACACAAATAAAGCTATCCTATGAAGACAAGTATCAACACAAATAAAGCTATCCTATGAAGACAAGTATCAACACAAATAAAGCTATCCTATGAAGACAAGTATCAACACAAATAAAGCTATCCTATGAAGACAAGTATCAACACAAATAAAGCTATCCTATGAAGACAAGTATCAACACAAATAAAGCTATCCTATGTAGACAAGTATCAACACAAATAAAGCTATCCCATGAAGACAACACAAATAAAGCTATCCTATGTAGACAAGACAAGTATCAACACAAATAAAGCTATCCTATGAAGACAAGTATCAACACAAATAAAGCTATCCTATGAAGACAAGACAAGTATCAACACAAATAAAGCTATCCTATGAAGTCAACACAAATAAAGCTATCCTATGAAGACAAGACAAGTATCAACACAAATAGAGCTATCCTATGAAGACAAGTATCAACACAAATAAAGCTATCCTATGTAGACAAGTATCAACACAAATAAAGCTATCCTATGTAGACAAGTATCAACACAAATAAAGCTATCCTATGAAGACAAGTATCAACACAAATAAAGCTATCCTATGAAGACAAGTATCAACACAAATAAAGCTATCCTATGTAGACAAGTATCAACACAAATAAAGCTATCCTATGAAGACAAGACAAGTATCAACACAAATAAAGCTATCCTATGAAGACAAGACAAGTATCAACACAAATAAAGCTATCCTATGTAAACAAGTATCAACACAAATAAAGCTATCCTATGTAGACAAGTATCAACACAAATAAAGCTATCCTATGAAGACAAGTATCAACACAAATAAAGCTATCCTATGAAGACAAGTATCAACACAAATAAAGCTATCCTATGAAGACAAGACAAGTATCAACACAAATAAAGCTATCCTATGAAGACAAGTATCAACACAAATAAAGCTATCCTATGAAGACAAGTATCAACACAAATAAAGCTATCCTATGAAGACAAGTATCAACACAAATAAAGCTATCCTATGAAGACAAGACAAGTATCAACACAAATAAAGCCATCCTATGTAGACAAGTATCAACACAAATAAAGCTTTCCTATGAAGACAAGTATCAACACAAATAAAGCTATCCTATGAAGACAAGTATCAACACAAATAAAGCTATCCTATGAAGACAAGTATCAACACAAATAAAGCTATCCTATGTAGACAAGTATCAACACAAATAAAGCTATCCCATGAAGACAACACAAATAAAGCTATCCTATGTAGACAAGACAAGTATCAACACAAATAAAGCTATCCTATGAAGACAAGTATCAACACAAATAAAGCTATCCTATGAAGACAAGACAAGTATCAACACAAATAAAGCTATCCTATGAAGTCAACACAAATAAAGCTATCCTATGAAGACAAGACAAGTATCAACACAAATAGAGCTATCCTATGAAGACAAGTATCAACACAAATAAAGCTATCCTATGTAGACAAGTATCAACACAAATAAAGCTATCCTATGTAGACAAGTATCAACACAAATAAAGCTATCCTATGAAGACAAGTATCAACACAAATAAAGCTTTCCTAGGAAGACAAGTATCAACACAAATAAAGCTATCCTATGTAGACAAGTATCAACACAAATAAAGCTATCCTATGAAGACAAGACAAGTATCAACACAAATAAAGCTATCCTATGAAGACAAGACAAGTATCAACACAAATAAAGCTATCCTATGTAAACAAGTATCAACACAAATAAAGCTATCCTATGTAGACAAGTATCAACACAAATAAAGCTATCCTATGAAGTCAAGTATCAACACAAATAAAGCTATCCTATGTAGACAAGTATCAACACAAATAAAGCTATCCTATGTAGACAAGTATCAACACAAATAAAGCTATCCTATGAAGACAAGACAAGTATCAACACAAATAAAGCTATCCTATGTAGACAAGACAAGTATCAACACAAATAAAGCTATCCTATGAAGACAAGTATCAACACAAATAAAGCTATCCTATGAAGACAAGACAAGTATCAACACAAATAAAGCTATCCTATGAAGACAAGACAAGTATCAACACAAATAAAGCTATCCTATGTAGACAAGACAAGTATCAACACAAATAAAGCTATCCTATGTAGACAAGTATCAACACAAATAAAGCTATCCTATGAAGACAAGTATCAACACAAATAAAGCTATCCTATGAAGACAAGTATCAACACAAATAAAGCTATCCTATGAAGACAAGTATCAACACAAATAAAGCTATTCTAATGAAGACAAGTATCAACACAAATAAAGCTATCCTATGAAGACAAGTATCAACACAAATAAAGCTATCCTATGTAGACAAGTATCAACACAAATAAAGCTATCCTATGTAGACAAGTATCAACACAAATAAAGCTATCCTATGTAGACAAGTATCAACACAAATAGAGCTATCCTATGAAGACAAGTATCAACACAAATAAAGCTATCCTATGTAGACAAGTATCAACACAAATAAAGCTATCCTATGTAGACAAGTATCAACACAAATAAAGCTATCCTATGAAGACAAGTATCAACACAAATAGAGCTATCCTATGAAGACAAGTATCAACACAAATAAAGCTATCCTATGAAGACAAGACAAGTATCAACACAAATAAAGCTATCCTATGAAGACAAGACAAGTATCAACACAAATAAAGCTATCCTATGAAGACAAGTATCAACACAAATAAAGCTATCCCATGAAGACAAGTATCAACACAAATAAAGCTATCCTATGAAGACAAACAGACAACACAAATAAAGCTATCCTATGAAGACAAGTATCAACACAAATAAAGCTATCCTATGAAGACAAGTATCAACACAAATAAAGCTATCCTATGTAGACAAGTATCAACACAAATAAAGCTATCCTATGAAGACAAGTATCAACACAAATAAAGCTATCCTATGTAGACAAGCATCAACACAAATAAAGCTATCCTATGAAGAAAAGTATCAACACAAATAAAGCTATCCTATGAAGAAAAGTATCAACACAAATAAAGCTATCCTATGAAGACAAGCAGAAAACTCCACTACCATCACCTGTGACAGAGCAAGGATCTGTGTCTTGAGTTCCTCTTCATCGTTGTACCCCACCCACGGGGCCACCGCGGCCTCTTGCTGCTTGGCCTTCTCCCTCTTTTCCTCCACAAACTTGTCCTGCTCTCTCGTAAAGTCACCAAGGATTGTCTGGAGATGGGGATTTAGTTTGGTAAATATTGTCAGGAATATTTGTTAACTTTCAGGAATATTTGTTAACTTTCAGCAATATTTGTTAACTTTCAGCAATATTTGTTAACTTTCAGCAATATTTGTTAACTTTCAGCAATATTTGTTAACTTTCAGAAATTTTGTAAACTTTCAGAAATATCGTAAACTTTAAAAAATAATGTAAACTTTTGGAAATATTCCAATTGTAAATTTTTTTCACGATCTACCTAAAATATCAGTAGTGATTTTATTATGATGATTGTTGTTAAAAAAAAAAGAATACTTACAAATACAAATAATACGTTGTAAACATGCATAAGGCAAGTGCATTTGTCATATTTCACTTATAATTAGGCTAATTAGAATGTATTATAAATTTTATTTTCATAATAAATTGCAAATTGTTTTTTAAGCACAACATTTAAAGGCTGAAGTCCTTTTCAAATAGGATTGTAGACTAAAAAAACTATTTATTTGCTGTGTATGTACAATGATTCAACTGAAATTTTTTTTATTAAAAATCCCATTTTAATTATTACTTTTATTAATTATTACTGACCCTTTCCTCCACCGTGTGTTTGATTTTATTGGCGGTGTCTACAACAGTCCGCCCTGCAGATTTTCCAAAACTGAAGAGGATATCTGTGGGAGAAAAATAATTGTTTACAAGTAAAGAAACCAATCTATTTGTGTACAACCTCAAGATGACAACAGGGGAGGCAACACAGATAAAATATAAGAGATAACAGCTGTAGTATGAATAATGAATTTAATGGCTGAAACATAGGGAAGGTCAAGGACAAACAAAAAAATCAATTGGGTTTAAGCCAAATGTATTTTTATCACTTGTCTTTGTTTATAACAAGACTACAATGAGGTCAAAAATTTATATTACATAAGAGAAGTGTTTTTAGCATGAGTTTTCTTTCTTTTCAAAATGAGAAATGCAATGCTAAAAATTAACTTGATTCATTACATGCTTTCTTAAATCTTATATTCTTTAAAATGAGCCCTTCCCCTTAATAAAGTACTATTGCAAAAGTGCAAAAAGGCTATTATAAACATAAACATCCAATATCAGTCATTATGATATACAGGTTAGCTCCAGTCAAATTATGTCAATTATTTTTTATTACATTTTATTTATAAAAACATGTCAATTATTTTTTCTTAAATTTAATTTATAAAAAAATAAGTCATCAAGCAAAAGTCATTACCTAATATGTATCTTGAATAGAATATATTCTAAGACTTAGGAGCTAATAAAAAAAAAACTATAGCAACACACTGATGAGGGTAACATTAAAACATGAATGTGGTTGTTTATTGGTTTGTAAAATTGTGCCATGTAGTGATATAGGGTTGGATAATGGTCAAGAGATTTGTTTATATCAATTTGTTTATATCAATTTGTTTATATCAATATAATGTTGGATGAACAAAACCCTAAGACTATTAGTGTGTAGAGCAAAAGAAAAAATAACTAAATGTACCAACTCTAGGATGAACCATACCCCTCCACCACTGGCTTTAATGTGACTGCTTTTCTCCATTTATGTTTAGAAACTCTTAGCTTATATAATAGGTCGATGGGTCATATTTAAAAACACAACTATGATAAACAAATAATACGGAACTAAAATTTCAGGTATTCACCAGATCGTACAGGTAAAGCATTAATTAAGAAAATAAATGATAATATTTTGAACCATCCTTATGGTTATTTTTCTGTGAATTAATGTTAACCTTGATAACCTAGTATAAGCTGGAAATAGACTAGGGTTAGAATTGAAATTGCATGTGATGTGAATACAAATATTAGTAATAAATATGTAGGGTATTTTCAATTATGGTCTCAGGATTATATTTTATTGAGTTACTCATAAAAACAGATCTTGGTGTACCATAATTTTAATTAAACTTTATTTAGATCTACCAAAAATGTTAGATAATATAGATTAACCTCTAGATTTATACTCTATATGAATAATAAAACTAACATAAAAAAAACTTTGTAGCAATAAGCTTTTAAATGCACTGAAAATAAAAAAATAAAGTGTATTTGATTTCTTTAGTAAAAAACTTTTGTCGCTAAAATATATAAAAGATCTCATGCAGACTCAAGAGTTTTTTATATTTGTTTTATTTTCAAATTTTTAGTGATTCTTACTTTTAAAGTCCACACGACTAAAAATATTTGCTTTAAAACACCATCAGTAGCTCGCGATATCTAAAAGATGATTATCTGCCTAGTGAAAAGCAGCCATACTTGACCATAATTTACAGACAACAGCACGCTGATGAAGCGAAGGATAGTTCTTAATCCCCTTAGTTTCAAATTGTTTTAAAATGTTATTACTCGCCTCTAAAAGCCTTCACTAATTCAGAGGCGTAGCGACCCTTCCCGGCGCCCGGGGACAAACTTTCGATTTGCACCCCCCCCTCAAACTTTCGATTTTCACCCCCCTTCGAACTTTTTATTTGCACCCCCCCCCTCAAACTTTCAATTTGGTGCCCCCCTAAGGTCGGCGCCCGGGGACATATGTCCCCCTCGCTACGCCTCTGCACTAATTTGACCCGGCTCTATGATTGTAAAAATTCAGCGTGAATCACAGCTCGCCAGATTGGTCGGTTGATAGCATCTAGCAAGTTATCTCCCCTTCTGATATTGAATATAATAACCTATCAAGTGATTTAGTTTTATCTCCCTTTGTGTCAAAATAGTTTAATTAATTTTAATGACTAATTAAACGTCTAATTAAATTAAAAAATAGACTTGTATTTTTATCAAAGTGGAACATATCTGCAAACTAAATAAAAGTGGGTGGGCTTGTCTTTTATGTATTACTAAACCATTCATCCAAAAGCTATGAAACTTTTTAAACTTGTTAAGAATATTCCTGAAAAGGTTTCTGTGATCTAAGAAATTTTTATTTCCTAGGAGCAGTGCCCGGCAGTAGGGTGCTGTTTGGCAACCAGGGGTACAACTTGATTCAACTGCCTCCACCGGCACCCAGGTAACCAGGAGCGCCTTGGGCATCCCCTTGACCACTATGGCTTCAAAATTCATTATTAAAGCATCACACACTATGGATACGCAGGCTACTAAAGTCAATGACTAAACAACTAGGGGTGTCGACAGGTGCCACTGGGTTGTGTGAACAGGTGCAACCCGTGCCCCCCCCCCCCCCCATAAGCACTTTGGTATCTACATTTGTTTTGAACACCTAACATAAGGCATTTAGTCATTTTAGTGGGCTACTAAAATCTTCTAATAAGTGTGGACAGAAAATTAGGTCGCGCATCTAAAAATATATCATTGGTAACACTTGCCTTAATCTTTAACATTACAATGAGTGTCCTTGAGTTTCTTTTCTTTTGAGATTGTAGCAATGTGAGCAATAGATATTCAAATAGGTAGTACAGTGTACAATCTACAATTCTAAATTCTACAATTCAGTTAAACTTACTTCCAAATTCTCTGGCTGTGTTGAGTGCCTTTGCAGATACATCTTCTAATGTATCTAATGGTGATGAGTCATGAGACGACTCGGATGTGGAAGATGCTTTTCCTTCATTGTCATCAGATTCTGTCTCCGTCAATCCATCTTTAGAACTAATGCTTGTCTCGACTGAAGTTGAGTTGATGCTGTCCTTACTATCGGAATGCACCTGTCTTTCATTTTCTTTATTTTCTTCGGGCTCATCTTTGGGTCTTTGACCAACACCTAACCAGCTCGTTACAGAGCTAAACATTGTCAATTTGTATCCACTTCTGTGAAGTTTGAAACTGTCAATTTTTAGTAGTCTTTGTAGTGTGTAGTATTTAGAGATCTACTATTTAGATTCTAAATATAGATCTAGATCTAGTAAGATTTTCTAAATTGAAACACCATTTTGTAAAAAGTACACTACTAGTGATAACTGTACTGTGACACAACATAAACAGACGTCACGTGACTAATTTATTTATTTGTAATTTGAAATAGAGATTTGTTTTGAATTCCATCATAATGGATGGAAATTCTACAATAAGCATTAAGCGGGCAAATAAAAAACGGAAAATGACCAAATTAAAATAATACAATTTTAAAATGTAGTTCTCGATTATTCCAACGAGACTACAAAGACAGCTGTTTCCTGTTGTGTGAAAGATGGCGACGTTCTTTGGTGAAGTTTTGTCAGTGTCATCACGAGCAGTTGATGAAGACGATGAAGAAGATGATTTTCCCATAACGCTTTGGTATTAATTTTATTTTACATAAAGCATCGCTTTCTTCTGATAAATTTTGCTTATTATTATGTACTAAAAAATATTTAAATTCTGGTTTCTAGTGACGCTGCAAAAATGTACTGCTGAGACTGTCGTGTACTGTACAGAATAGTTGTTTTTTTTTGGTAATCTATCGTTTTGGGTACGTAAAATCGCCCGCGACTTGTAATGTGAAAACCAGGTGACTCCTTAAATTTTAATAATTATTTCACATTTTGAGGAGGATTTACGTTTTTAAAATACAAAAATGTTTCCTTGTTTCATTTATGTACCTGTTTATGACTGTTTTTAAACAATTAAATTAAAACTTTTCAGTAATAAATGAAGACTAGCGATGTTTCCAACAGATGCAACCATGCTCATTTACTATAGCAGCCATCTTGTTTAAGTTTTATTTTTATAAGCTTATAGCGCGAGATTCAGGGGGAAGCCACTCTATTTTACAAATGGCTGCTGTTTATATAGCAAATCTTGCTCTCAGACACTGCTGTTTAAAGTTAATTTCTGGCCTATATCGATATATTTAGCCATTGATTTGGGTTTATTATTCATTCATCTATAATATTTTACACAAACATATGACAATACACTTCTATTAAAGCCTTGACAATGAGGTAACGTTTTCGTACATTAATAGCCGCGGGCGATTTTACGTACCCAAAACGATAGATTACCGTTTTTTTCTATCTGATTTCATTTAGATCTAAACTTGATCTAGTTTATATGCCAAATAATTAGGGCCTAGGTCAATCCTAGTAAAAATATTAAAATAAGTAGTGTAGATTACACTTCTTTTTGTCATTTTCATTAATTCCATATTAAATTAATTTAGGCTAGGCCTATTTACTATTTTAATTTATTAGGCCTATTATTTTTAGAATTTTAGGCTATTTAATGTTTAATATTTTTAAGCCTAAGGCCTAAGGCTAAGACCCCTACTAAAGTACTAATATTATTTAATACCTAAGCTAATTTGTTAAATAAATAAAACTATCACAAATTATAGGCCCGAAAAGCCCTAAATAACTTTTATAGTATTTTTGAACATAGACAATAAGCTTATGTGATTTGATAGCGATCTGTTTTGTATAGGGTTTCTATTACCTTTTAATTTGATAGTTTTTGTTTAGTACACATTTAAATCCCAGATTATTTCACTTCTGCAGCTCTCCTACAATTTATTGGTCAAATAAAGTTCAAGCAGAGATTGACAAATCTGAAGAGAAGAAATTAAACTGTTCCAGTTTTATTATAGCCTGTGGAATAGAAGCTAATGGTTGGTTTTGCATTTTTTTTGTGTACACCTTTTTTATACTTTAATTTGATCACCATTACCAACAGTGGCTTAATATGTTTTTCTCTCAGCATTTAGTGAAATCTATATAAAAGAGTCAAGTTATGAAAAGATTGGTGGAATATTTGCCAGTCAAGTGGAAGAGGATCCTTTAGCTAAGCCTCAATCTTTTAAAGACAAATCTTGCTTGATTTATCAGTGTTCTGATAGGCCATCTGTATTATTGTGTCAGTGTAGTCGGGATGTTCTACCTGAAGAAAGCTTTACATGGTCAAAATTAGTAAGTAAATCAAAATTTATCTTAGCTATAATAAACAAAACTTGTGTTGAACATGACTCATTTAAAAAAATAACTAAAATAGATTGGGGTTTACGAGGGATTTTATTGTAACTACTGAAATACCGGGGCATAGATCTACTATTGATTGTAATGTAAGATTTTTAAAAATGTGTTTGAATAATGTATACTTTAAAAACGTTTAGTTAGAAAAAAGCATTTTAATTTTGATAATTATTTACTTCCAGCTGATAGACAACATAAATTTGAATCATGCAGCAATAACAGTGTTAGCTGCAGCTAGCACAGGAAGCTACTGCAGCCAAACCCCTGCCTCACAAGTAGAGACTCCCTTTCTCAGATATCTAAAAACGGACCAGCTTCTGGATGTACCAGTCTGTCCTGTGCTGGAGCAGCCTAATATGTTGACGGGGCTGCCTGCTATGTGTGAGCATTTATCTAAATTCTTTACACTCTTCAAAAATATTTACATTCAAAATATAGCATTGTAGCTTATAATCTGACAGGATTTTGGATAGTCAATAAACAAGTATTCATAAAAATGATCTTAAATTGTCACAGTTCAGGTTTTAATTGTGATGTTTCTGTCAGTGATGACATTTTTCCAGGTTCTCCAGCTCCAAGCTGTTGTTTATGTTTGTTATAAAGAAAACAGATACATGGATATTACTGATGTCAAGTCTTTTGCTCCGGTTTTGAAAGCTACAACATTAAAGAGTATAGCTAAGGTAAAGAATTAAAAGTTCAAAGCAAAAAATCTCTTCTATACCTATGGTTATAGCAGCCAAACACTCTACTCTTCATACCACCTGAATATTTAAAGAATCTGACTTTTAACAAAATGTTGCATTTCATAGTATATTTATCAGATTATGTCCAATATTTGGTAATGCTGATTTAATCAACTAAAATAATAAGTAATAAAAAAAAAAGTGAAGATTTCTCTTTAGATGTAGCAATCAGTTGGGCAGATGAAGTAGAGTTCTTTTGTTTCTTGACCTCGGCATATGAATGGATGGTGGGGTAAGCACTAAGCCAAGCCACCTTAACTTTCCACAAAGCAAGTCAGGTACCCATCAGAGCTGGGTAGACTAGGGGAAATCCTTCAGTCACAAGTCTGAACTGAGATCCAAATTCAAGGCAGTCGGGCTAGCAACCAAACGCTCTACCATTTGACCACACTATCCCACAAATAAGTGTTCTAGAATTGAACTAAATTACAATGGTCAGCAATACCTGATTGTGGCTTCTGTTACAGCTAATTATGTTTTGTATTATGATAAAACAAGTTGTAAAGTATTAAACTTTATTTTATTATTTCATTTTCAGCCAATAAAAAACATGGAGAAGTTAAAAGAAATAGTGGAGCAACACACAGTGCATGATTCTATGTATATGTGATTTGTTTAATATGATGTGACTGGTTTAATATGAAGTGAATGGTTTAATATGATCTGATTGGAATAATATATGTGTATTGTTCAGTATAGGAGTGATGTGACTGATTGTTCAATCTGGTGTGGATGTCTCCATCACCTTGAAAATAATCTAGTTATTGTTCTGAACATTGAGAAATTGGATTGCATTTTTGAATTGTTTTGTTTAATAAAAGTTCAAATTTTTTCCTTTTTTATCTTAAGTTTTGTATTTGAAACAAAGTTGCAGGGTGAAAATGAACAAAGAAAATTTAGCATTTTAATTAATTTATAACATCTTGATTCATCATACTAAAACTAGCATGTAATTGACTCGGTACAATGCTATTTGAAGACTACCATGACTATACATTTTTTGTTTCTATAGCACAAAATTCACTCTCAAACGCAAAGAAAAATAACCATCTCAGACATTCCAAGTGACTGAAGACTGACTACTACATTATATTCAAACAAACTATACATTTTTCAAATTGGTTGTATTATATCAAAACAAACTTGAAATTCAATAATGAATTTAAATTGGCTAGAAAAAGTGTCAGAAATGTTATTTAATTTTAATTCATATCTTAAACTTAACACAAGTAAAAAGCAACTTAATAACTAAATAGATGTAAAGGAAATTGCAACTGTTTTGTGTATTGAATTTTTATTGGAACAATCATCTGCATCAACATATCATTTTATATTTATAAACAAAAGTCATGAAATTAATAAAAATAACTAGACCAACATAAGATACTTGACATGGGTAAAACTGACTTTTACCTGTGTTAATTAAATGGTTTTAAAATATTAACTAAAAGCTAAATCAAAATTTGATATATTAATTAGTTCAAAACTTGCCACACAAAAATTGTTACAACTTGCCAAATATTGTTTTCTATATCTTTATAAGCTGCATTTATTCCATGTTTACAAACAAGCAACTTAAAAAATGCAAAGAAAATATTTTAAAAAAAACCGACCCAAAAAAATTTTAGTTTTTGGTTCCAGATCAAGTGTTAATAAAGTTTCTATAATCACATTACTAGCAGCTAGATCAATTAAAAAAATAAAAAACAGTATTAGAGGTAAATAGAAAAATGTTTGAAAGTTTAAGCAGTTTGATCCAGTAAACTTTTAAGGCTGATACCATACAATATTTTCTTGCCACAACACATTATTTGTTACCCTTAAGCAAATGGTCCAACATAATTTTGTTGCTTCAACTGATAACCAGTTTAAACTGGTGGAATAGAACAAGAAAACATGTTCATCACTGCTAAAAAACATGTTCTCTGTTGAAGGAATAGAACAAAATGAGAATCACTCCATCAAACATGCTATGAGGAAACTGTTGTCAACAAAACTGAAAATGGCTTAAATCATCACGTTACTTTAGAAAAAAAAGTACCATTGTGTGATTTATCATTTTAAAGATGTACAAAAATATTAACCCACAATAAAAAAAATTTTAAATTAAATAAGCAAAAAGTATTTTGATAACTCAATACTAGCTACACTTACACTGGAACACAAGGGATACATGAACCAATATTAACACGGACCAATCACTGAGTCTTCTTGTCTCTGGACTGAGGTTCCTCTAAGGCTTTCAGTCGATCCAGGAGGGGAGGGTGTGAGAAATGCCAGGCAGAGTACAGCCAGTCACTGAGGGGGAAGCTCAAGTTGTCTTCATTGAGTTTAATCAGGGCTGACCGCAGCAACTCAGCCTGCTTCATCTTGCGGGCAAAGGCATCAGCTTGAAACTCAAACTTCCTTGTTATGTGGGTGACTATGAAAGACAATATCTGGAGAAGCAAGAAATACAAAATAATTGAGTTCAAAATTAAATCAATCTTAACCATAGATATTTTAATTTACACAAATTAAAAAGACTATCTGTAAATGACATTAGGGTGAATAAATATAACCAATGTCACATCTGCAGAAATTTACTGCTTTTGGTAGACAAGCTCTGATACCTACCTCATTGTACGGAGCAAAAATAAACTGGAATATAATGATGAGGCCTATGAGAGTAGGCTGTGTATCAAAACCAAAGGCGGAGTAGAGAACAGTTTCTTTCATGAGAACAGCAAACACCATCAAACACAACAACAGGTTAACCTGGAACATTGGGAAATCACATACATCAAAACAGTTTTTTCACTAGCATGATTTAGGACCTAATGTTCAAGATTTTAATATCCACCTAAGGTGACTATACAAGCAGATGAGAAGGTGACTGACCTGAGACAAGACAAGCTGCTTGAGAACATGGTTCAGATACCAGTGGCCCAGCTCATGAGACAAAACTGCCAGGACCTCGTCATTGTTGCAGCCTTTCTTGGTTTTTTTCTTGCTTTTTTCACCTGTAACTTCCTCATCTTTCCCTTTTTCTTCTACTTCCTTCTTGACCTCTCCTTCCTGGGTTTCTGTACTCTACAGACACATCAAAACATTTTTCAACTATATCATGGGGAATTAAAATTCATGGAATTCAAAAACATAACCATTGTTAAACTTACAAAATCTTAAAATAAGAGAACAAATCTTTAAGTTCGTAATTCCAAAGTACACTTCAAGATGGTGATTCTTAAAAAACATTGAAATTCTAAACTTCTCTACTTGTTAATTCTAACTACCGTATTCTCTCCTGTCTGATTTTCTTCTTGAATTTGCTTGTTATCAGGTGTATAGTCTTCAAGTAGTGTGTCAAACAGAACAATTCTTTTGTTGTTAAAAAACCCATAAAAGTATGCATTACTATGAGAAGATCGTTTGGAACCTATTTTCAGAAGAAAAATGTTAAAATAATAAAGTCATAGAAGATAGTAAATCAAAATCATGCTGATCAAAAACGTAAAAATTATTAAAATATTAGATGGCACAAGAGAAACCTACTCCTAACCAACAAACTAACCTTCAACAACAAAGAGTTTTTTTAGAGGAAAATTGATGCTCTGTGCCAATTCTTCAATACGTGTGCGTAGTTCACCATCAGGAAGTGGGGTAAACTTGTCAAACAGCGGGGCAATGTAATCAGCATAAACTGTGATCATGACCTGTAGACACAAGTTAACTGATCAAACAAAGAGGTTTTACCACTACTTTAAAGCAGGTCATTGCTTTAGTAGAGTGCACCAGCATTCTTTTATTGCCTCCCCTACAATCCAACAATAGCTAATGTTTTTTTAACAATTTAGGCTGAATATTTAAAGGAATAACCACTATCTCTCCAGATAAAGTAGTTTAACAAAACAGGAGTTGCCAACAGATTAATGTTATTAATTAATAAAAAACTCTTCTAGCTTTTGGCAACATAAATTGATTTAATTCTCCAATAAAAACTTTGTTATGATAAGGACTACAAGTAAAAAACTAAAAATGGTTTGTTGGTAATAGAGAGAGAACAAATAAAAAAAACCAAAGTAAATAATGTGAGGTTACCAGTGAAACAACAAGTGTGAAGAGCCAAGCATAGATAAAGAAGTAGGTCCCTCCAGCCTGTATGATCAGTATCAAAGCAGCAGTCACTGGCAAGGCTATTGCTATGGTCACTACAAACTGTTTTGCTGTATCTTTAAAAAAAAAGCCCAAGGTCTGTGAAAAAAAATGCAACCATCAATAATAAGTAAGTAAAAACATTGGCACCAAAATAGACATGAATTTTCAAGTGATAAATCCCCCCCCCCCCCCCAAAAAAAAAATGAACCGTTAACTGACCTGCTTGTTAAAACCATGTCTTTCCTCTATGACAAACGTGCTGTACAAGGACCACGGCAATGACGTTACTGAAGAAAAGATCATGGCCAGAACCAGGAAGACCAGTGATTGGATGATCTAAAAATTGCAAACAATTCTTTTGAAGCATAAAAATCAAACAGAGTAATCATGACTACAGTACTAAAAAGCAAATTACAAAATCAGCAATTAAAAAACATTTACCTCGCCTTGTGGAAAGTTGAGACGTGTTAAAAAAAATGCAGACAAATTCCAACATGCTGGGAAACCACCAAAACACAAGATTAACTGTAATAAGGCAAATAAATAAAAATGTTATTTTAAAAATCTTATTTGTAGGTAACAAAATTGCCTTTGGTTACTTATTTTTAAGCTTAGAATTAGGGGTCGGCGTGGTCGAGTCGGTAAAGCTCAAGGTTGCTAAACCGAAAAGTCTCGAGTTCGAACCCTCGGGCCGATGAGGCTCGTTGGCTGGGGATAGCCACTCTTCTAGGAGAGACAACTCCAAAATTAAACAACTGCTGCCTTGTAGTTTGTTCTTGGTTGGACAAAGGCTATGGAAGCAAATCCAAAAAGAAAAGCAGGCTGAAATGGGAGTCAATGGCCTCAATGGCGCATAACCAGTTGACACGTAACGCTTAATTGTGTTGGAGGCGTGGTGGAGTCGGCAAAAAGCTCATGGTTGATAAATTCGAACAAAGTCTCGAGTTCAAACCCACTGGCAGATAAATCTCGATCCCCTTCAACACTAATAATTAAGAACGAAGAAGAAGAAGAAAAGAAGAATATAAACAATAAGGACAACATTAAACCAAATAAAAATGAGTGGAATTATTAGTAGGTAGTATATAGACCTATATAAATATATAATGTTACATTTAGTAACTATGGCTAAGAAATACATTCTTTAAAATGTTCAGGTCATTGACAAATATTACCGTAGACTCAATTTGTCCATATACACTGTGTATCAATCCAAAGGTGCTTTTATCTAGATGGTATGCACGAGCCTTTTCAAATGTTTCTTGTTCCATCACACCCACCAGTTTATCTGGCACAGTTTTACTTGTCAGTGCAACATGACGCTAAAATACAACACAAATGAAATAATTATTTGTGAGTAGATCTATATAAAAGACAGAGTTTTATAAAAATCCTTGAACTTTGTACAACAGCTTTTTAACATAGTAAACAAAAAAAAGCAAATAACCAATAGGCCTACGCCTAAATCTATTTGTTACTTGTGTTTTAGTTATGCCCTAGATATCTATTTATTTTTATATGTATATAAACTAGCTAGACTCGAGAGTCTTGTGACTCTGGTCACTAAGTGAGTGACTTAGTCAGTTCTATCCAATCTAGTCATTCTCCTAGTCACTAGTCAGTCTACTAAGGGAAAATTCAGAAATAGATTTAAGAACTTAAGAACTTAATTAAATGTCTCAATGCCAGAACAGAATAATGAGCCGTTGCTAGAATCTATAGGCCTATACTATATGTATTTATAGACTATATAATTCTATACGGACCTGGGTCCGAACATAGAACATATTTATAATATTTAATTATTTGTTTTAAAATTAAAATAGCAAACCTGACGTAACGAAAGGTACGTCTCCCAAACAAACGTTAACCAAGTGAATAAAAGAACAGCATTGAATATCGTCTCTTCTTCAAAATGAGAAAACATGTTGGTTGGCAATAAGAATACAAGTAAACTTCTAGACCTTTCTATACTAGATCTATAATCTAGATCTAGATCTATATCAATACTAAGTTAATTAAAATTATATTTATAGCTAGGCCGCTAATCTGCGGCAACAACGTATGTGGAGGAAAAAAAATCCTAATTCAGCAGGAACTAGAACTCTTGTAAAGTAGATGTTCAGATTTGATTTTAAAATCTAGACTAGGTTTACACTAAATTCCGGTAAATAAAAACTGAAAACAAGCCAAAAGCATAGATCAACTGATGTTTTGTCCTCAGCCGATCAGACAGTATTGATTGATATAAAACCGGCATTTTTTTCAATGAACAAAATTTAGAGAAATATTTTATGAGAAGCAATCACATTTTTTGCAGGTCTTAACTATTTTTGCATTTCAGATATAGCATATATATATATATATATATATTCTATATAATAGTTTCGCTGTCTGTCAAGAACGCTCTGTCTGACAAGAACGCTCTGTCTGACAAGAACGCTCTAGAGAAAACACAAGCAAAATAAAAACATGCACAGTAATTCGAAAAACGAAATATGACGTCGACACATTTAGCGTAGAGTAGAACATAATCTCAAACCAGAGAGTGCACACAGTAATGTAATGACGTCATTGGTTCTACATTGAAAAAAAGGAAATGTTGTCTAATCTAAATGGTTTGCGTGAAGATTTTCTTGCATACAATTCTTCGGGTAGGGGCGAAGCCCCACCCCCCGCGTAAGAACGTCTGAGCCCCCCCCCCCCTCCCCAACTCAAAAGAAATTTCCTCATCGATACTCTATAATAAAATTACCGCCTAATTAATGTGTCTAATCTAAAAAGTGGTTTTCTTGCAATGGGACGGTAGACATGTTTTTTTTTGGGGGGGGGGGGGGTGTGGGGTGTGGAGGGGTGGGGGGGTGTGTGGGGGTGGGGGGGTGGTGTGTGGGGGGGTGGGTTGGTTTCAGTGTTTCTTTCAGACTTTTTCCTCCCCGGAGAGGGGTGGGGGTACTTGAAATTTTCGGGGGCGGGGGTAGAATTTTCTGGGAGGGGGCGGACACTGGAAAAAGTATATAATTATATTTCGTTGAATGGGACGGTAGACATGCTTTTTTGGGTGGTGGGGGTGGTGGAGGGGTGGGGAGGGGTGGTGTGGGGTGGGGTGGGGGTGGTGTGGGGGGGGTGGGGGTGGTGTGTGGGGGGGGGGGGGTGGTGTGTGGGGGGGGGGGGGTTGGTTTCAGTGTTTCTTTCAGACTTTTTCCTCCCCGGAGAGGGGTGGGGGTACTTGAAATTTTCGGGGGCGGGGGTAGAATTTTCTGGGAGGGGGCGGACACTGGAAAAAGTATATAATTATATTTCGTTGAATTGGACGGTAGCCATGTTTTTTTTTGGGGGGGGTGGGGGGTGGGGGGCGGTGTGTGGAGGGGGTGGTGTGTGGGAGTGAGGGGTGGGGGTGGTGTGTGGTGTGTGGTGGGGGTGGGGGTGGTGTGGGGGGGTGGGGGGTAGGGTGGGGGTGGTGTGTGGGGGGGTGGGTTGGTTTTAGTTTAGAGAAAAGAGACAGCACTATCAGCCTAGCGCCCGTTGTACCCTTCCTCAACGGGCCATTTTTCTCGTATATATATATATATATATATATATATATATATATATATATATATATATATATATATGGCGCCTTTTCTGTACTCACCGATCCCCTACGTCCCTACCAACGATGTCTGAACATATGTTTATCATGAGTATGCCTGTCTAAATCGCTATATTTTGCCCCGTCATCTCACTACGACACATCTTGGTCGTCAAAATGTTTGATGAGACTTTTTCTGGAGCAACTCCGGGTCAACTTGCACCTGTAACTTAATATCTGAAAAGGCTTTGTTCCTGTGTAATCACATTACATTTGCAGTAGATCTACATAATTATCTCCCATTTCTAAATCTCAACCTGCTCTGTTTCAGCTATCCGTCAATTTTCCATTGCCTGTTCTGGTGTGACAAATCGAAAATGTTGAGGGGGGAGGGGGGGCTTTATATTGGCACTTTCTTCTTCGTTCTAAATTCTAATGGTTGACGGAATTTTTTCTAACACAATAAAGTATTCTTTCTGAATTTTCTTCCATAGCCTTTGTCAGAATAATATGTGCGTTGTTTGATTTATCAAGCCTAGGGGCTCGATCTCGGGACATTTAGGTTTAGCCACGCCGACTCCACAGCGGTATTTAAAGAAGATTTTTCAAAATTCTTTCACTTGAAGAGGCAAATGTATTTTAAACTTTCAACTTTACTCTTAACTTGGCTCTGTGCGTGTAATAATAGTGTGTTGTAATTGCAAAGTTAAACGTGCTAAAGTGTTTATCTAAATCCAGCATGACATGATAGTACAGCACTTATTGATAATAAACTATACATTGAACATAGAGCATTGAGCGCTAAATTGTATTTTTGAATCTTTGCAATTTTTTTTATAAGTTCAATACTCGACCCGTATAACATGTTGGGTTATCTCTGTGCTGCTATTCCTTTTCTTTTGCAGTCAGTATGCATGTAATCGAATTGAAATCAATAATAGTCTACATATGGGGAGTCTAATTAAGTCTTCAAACTGTTAGAAGTAATTTAGACTGTATATCGGACAGCTGTGACGCGGCTAGAATAAGTCTATAGAGATTTGAGTATTTATATTAGTTTTTTCAAAAGAATGTGGGGGATAGAAGAGACACATGTCACACAAACATTGTTTGTAAAGTCATCTGTTTGCCATTTTGTCTGCAAATATGCATTAGTCAACCTTTTTTCATGTCGGCTTTTTAAAATCATATATATAGATAATTAAGAAAATTGAAAACGTGAGTAATGATTCTGGTAAAAATATTTGTTGATATCGCAAATGGAAGCCGCCAACCCACCCTATCCAAGCTACGCATCTGTGTCTAGTTAGTTAATGGTCATCATTGTTTTATAACAGGACACTCCCCTTTCCCCCGGAACACGTTTACCGCCCCATCAAACGAAGTAAACGCAATTTTAAATAGGAAAATAGAAAAATACCAATATATACTTCAACAGTCCCCCCCCCCCGCCCCCCCCCCCCTCCTCAAAGAGAAAAATGTCTGAAAGAAAACGACTGGTCACATTACACAAATGTTTCGAAGGACCATTATCGAAGAGCAGTTTCGAGTGGATTGACTGTAATTTAAAGGAGTAGGCCTATTCACGATCATGTTTTGAGTTTAAGTGTATGTACACTATTGTTAAAGAAGTTTGGCGTATAAAATCCTCTATGCCTATACTTTCTCTACAAACGTTTTTTTGCACTCAAATATTTAAGTTTTTTAAATCAAATTTTAGCGACCAACGCTTTTATCAATAATTTAAATCATAAGGTACTAAGGTACTATTGTAGCAATTAAAAGAGCATTATCTTTTCTTTATTTTATAATTTAAAGCTTTTCGAATGTTCTATTTTTATGGCAGCTATTGGAGTTTAGTAAGCCCAATTCACTAATTATTTTTATAAACAACATGGCTGACAATCTAGACGATGAGTGGTGGGTTGACGAAAATAACCATGATAAATCTGTCTCAGGTATTTTATTACAGTAAAGTTTATAGACCGCTGTTTATAGATCTATAAAACATTTGGAAAGACTTTTATGAATACATAAAACTACAAAACCCCTATAAAACATTAAGCCCAAAGTTGTTGCAACTCTATGTCTATGACTAGGCTTTTTGATTAGGTTGAATTATGGATTTTTTAAAATAAAATATTCTGTTATTTCAAATACACCATTAAGTTCCTTACCCCTTAAGAGAACATTTGACACCACATTTAAATATCTAGCTTATTCGGTTGACGAGAAAAAAGAGAATTTGAAAATTTAGCTAGAATGGAAAATGAATGACAAAACAAGAATCTTGCTCCTGGACCGGCATAACATGACGCCGTGAACTTGTGTGCACGAGCTTTTAATTCCCGCCATGGTAATTGCGTCAGCTTAGGTCATTTACTCACCGGAAAATAACAAAAAGCAACTGGTTGATAATAAAACTTAGATCTAGTTATTTTATTATTTATTAAATTCTACTCTACATTTTATTCATACCATTTTAAGAAATAATGAACACCTACATAAATCAAATGACCATAATAAATATTTTTATTTCAAATTCTAATTTTAAATAATAAATATGCATAAAATAATATGATAGTAATAGTTAAGATAGTTTATAAATGCAAATACATTTTACACTCAATCACATTATATTGAGTCAACAGTGTGGCAGCTGAGGTTCATACATGGTATTAGTGTCTTTTTTTTTTTACATTACATTTTTGTCATCTTGAAAACATGACGTATGTGATTTTTTTAAAAATAAAATCTCCAAACATCGTCACTCGCGTGATTGCTTGCTTATGTTTACTATCCTGTGGATGAAAAATCCCACCACGGTTGCGGGGTCACCGTGACTTCAGCAGGCCTACAGTACACGTCATAGAATGAACACGCGTACACGAGATGGTCGGTGTCTTCACTTCTCTCTCCCCCCCCCCCCCTCTTCTTCAAGCAAATTGAAAAAGAGACCTACTTCCCTACTTCTGGTCATTTTTTTTAGTTCGGTCATTTTTTTTTTAAGTTCGAATATCAGGCATGCTAGACAGCCAGCTGTATAAAAAAAATATTTTTTAAACTAGATCTACGTCTAGCTTAAAAAAATAAATAAATAAACGCTTAAAATGCCCGTAAACAGATTATTCGTAAACAGATTATTTAGCGCCAAAAAAAAGGCCGCTGAACGAGCATTTTTTACAATACGCAGCAATGAAAAAGGCTAACGGCCAATCAATTAAGTCTAAAAATCGCCCGTAATTAGGCCTAGCTCTGAAAAAGGCCACTGAACGAGCAACACTGATTATATAAACGAATAGGCCACGCGGCGTTGACGAGGTCAACCACCGGTCACGAATGCAGCAACGGTCGGCCCACAGTGAAGAAAAAATCAATATACTAATAAAATTACTAATACAATAATAATGTCTATAATTTTACTTTTTCCACACATGCTACAATTGATTTATAATTAAAATACTAGACTTAACAGTTCATTCCGTAAAAAACAAAAACTAGTTGTTTCAGTCTGGCAACTAGCGTAACAATGACGTCATGATACTTAAAATAGCGGATAGAAATGTCAGCGTGGGTACCTCATCCTCGAGGAAGATTTTAGAAAAAGTAATCAAAAATACTGTAAATATACATGATAAATATATCAATTATATATTAATGTACAGTTAGTCGAGCCGTTTTCCCCGTTAGTCGGTCGTTTTTGGCGGCGGTTCAGTTTTTACGGAGAGTGCTCCACTAGAAATCCTCTCATTATTTACAACCACGAATCTTGCGATTTTTTCTGGCATTCTAAGGCATATTATCCATTTTATTAGCAATTTGCATTAAAATAATGATGAGAATTTGCGATATAAACAGTTTTTTCATTTGTCGTGGATGGGACCCCTAAAATAAACGGAAAAACCGTCAGAAAACGATGCGTGACGTTTCAGGGTCAGAGGTCAATCCTGCCATCTAAGCAATGTGCCAGACTATTTTTTATGAGAATTACAGAATGATTTTTTAAATTAAAAATGTATCAATAATAGCTAGAACACTAGTAAAGTAAACTAAGCTAATTTATTTAGCATATTTTAACTTTCTGTGCAAAGTCATTATTACTGAAAAAAATTACAAAGTCAGGTCAGTCTGTGGCACCCTCCACTGAACTTGACAGAAGGAAAAAAAACTTGACCCGTGACCTTCATTAAAACAGAATTTGTTTTTATTTTATTTTTAGTAAACATGTGCTTAATCTTACCCAATAAGTGATAAAAATTTGAAAATTAATCTTAATTACTGTTGTAAAGTGAGATAAACACTAAACAGCTTAATAAACACGTGTTTTCTTGAGGGGGTGTGGCACATCGCAATTATAACTTAATGTTTCTGTGTTTTATGACTATATAAGTATATTTGTACACAATCAGGATGCTATGCTTTTAAAATTGATAAATGGTAAGTATACCAAGTTACAAAACCTGCAATCTAACTAATAATTCATACTTTCAGTTTAAAAAATAACAAAACGATTATCAATGAAGAAAGCATAAACATTCTCTTTTTAGGTGTGGCATAAAAAAAACAGGCATAAATCTAGCCAAATGATTGGATTCTTGCGCAGCACACATTTTCCCGCGCCTCGTTTTCACTAAACAAGATTATAATAAAATGGCATTATTGGGGGTGATCGTTTACCCACGCACATATCTCATTAACACAATAAATTATTACCATTTAATTGTAATATGTGTAAAATTAATACTTTAGAGTTTACATCTGACATAAGCTGGTTTACGCCGTGAAACGATATTTCAGGGTTATTTGATTTAAAAGACAAGAATTCATAGAGCTATTTTCACTTACACGTAGCTTGCGAGACAAACAGAGAAATTAGCTCAAAAGTACATCTGGGAATTCTTAAATAACAGACTGAAATAGAAACGGATAGTTCCGATGTCTAAAATTAACGATGGCCTCGTAATTATTAGTTTTATCCCTCTATCGTTTAGTGAAAGCGAAACTGGTCGCCATTTTTAGTAAGCGCATGAGCCGTGGGATGCCACAAAAATGACAAACCCGGAAGCGTTGAACCGAACGGCCTACTATGACAATGAGAACTAGAGATCTAGATCTAGAATCTAGATCTAGAAAGTAGAATCTAGTTCTAGATCTACTTTTGGATGATATTTAGAATCGACCCTTTGAATCCCGGACAGATCGTCCCCCCGGATATATAATATATTTAATTAATTAATTAATTAATTTGCTAATTATAAAATTATGTATGATGCTGTAGAAGTAGGTAAGTATAATTTTTTACTATGTATTTGTACTATTAAACATATTATTAAAGAACATCGTTGTTTTAATACCACCCTCTCCCCCGAGACGACAATGAAAATATCAAGCAGAAATTATTATCTCCCCTAAGTTTCAAATCATTTATACACTAAATTCTCTGCCCCTAATAGCTGTCAGTTATTCAAACTGGCTCTACTATTGTAAACAATAGGGGTGAACCATAGCTCACCTGACAGGTGGGGATGAGGGTGGTAGCAATACACCTAGAAAGCGGGGTAGGAATGGCTAAGCTGCGTGGTGTCTCATATGGTCCCTATGAAGAGAATTATATATATAGATAGATGGCAGAGACATGGATTAAAATTTCATTACCAGCAATAATCTCCAAGACAAGCATTGAGAAGATACAGAATACTGAGTAATACAGAACTTCTTGAATATTTTGAAATTGAGGTGGCAAGACAAAGTGCCGAATATAGACGTATGGGTGGAGAAGAACAAACGAGGAGCCAATTATTGTGCAATTATTAAGATTTAAGAATGAGGAAGTGGCACTGGTTGGAAGACACTGCAAAAGACTCATTCTAATGTAACATGTCAGCGCATGGGGGGAACCCTCAGGGAAAGCGATAGAGAGGGACAAAAGGCCCTAAGCTCGACTAGGAGTGAAGAGGATTGTCAAGCAAGTCATATCAAACTGATCAGACACTAATTTTGATGATTCTAGCTGAATGGGGCTAAATACAGCATTTTAAATTTTAATTTTTGGTGACCCACAGCCCAGCAGCCTAATATGAAATGACCCTTCCATGACAATACATTGACGGGTTGTGGGCCAGAAGTTCACACCAGCAGAGGAATTTTAGGCTGGAAGGGGGAAGTGGGGGTATGACTCTTGTAACAGTTAAATGTAGATGAATGTATGTTTCGAGTATGTATCTTAAAAAGGCGATATAAATATAAAATATAGTATGGGTGTGCGCATGCGCTAAGGAAAGGAAGAAGAGGTAGATAGAGCGCAAGGCAGATGGCGATGTTTTCTACAGTGAAGGTGTTGTACATATGAACCAATAAAATTATGGAAATTACAGGAACAAGGGTTGATTTTTGTTTTGAGTGTGTGCCATGAAATAGGTAGTGGAAAAGGCCGTGACAACTCTGATGCTGCAATCAAATATAATTGAAAGGATACTAGTAAATTGGTTATGTAGCCTACAAACAACACACATTTAAAAATGAACTATTTGTAATAATCAATATAAATATAAAAAAAAAACGTGACTAAGAAAACAAGAAATTATAACAAAGATAAAGAAATTATAACAAAGATAAAGTTGGCATTTTAATTCATATAGTAGAAACTCACAAAATAGTGAAAATCCAAAAAATTTTGCCCAAAGGCCAAAAATAAACCTATGCAAGTTGACCAATGCAATTAATTTCAGTAAACAGAATCTGTCCTAGTGTTGTTAATATTCGTTATTATTTAAATACAATTTATTTTATACAATTTAAAGATCCATTGTTACCTACTCCATCTTTATCATATTTTTTTTTTTACAGAAAGTGAAGGTAAAGAAAAAGTAAAGATCAGTAAAAGTAAAAAAGAAGGAAAAGTCAGTTTAGATAGTGAGAAGAAAAAGAAAGGAGCTAAAAGGACTGCAGAAGTTGGTGATGGCAAGGAACCAGTGAAGAAAAAAAAGAAAGTATCTAAAAATGAAAAGAAAAAAGAACGTGTAAGTCAAATTCTCAAAGCATAGTAAAAAAAACTTTCTGTAAACTAAGACATTTTAAGAGACAATCATAGAAGTAACCCTAAATGAAGCGGGAGTGATCTCCCCTAAACTTTCTCAAATATACTTATATAACACTACGCGGGATGGCAACTCAGGATATAGACATGTGTTTTAATCAATTTTTAATTACGTAAACTTTTTAAAATAGAATAGAATCTCCATCGCTATTTCATATGCATTTTTTGAGAAATCTGAAATAGCGTAAAGTACTACTTCAGGTAAACGGAAATTACTCAAAATTCGAAAGAAAGCAGATAATTAGATCTTGTACTTATATGAGAAATTTTGTCTATCTATCTGAAACAGTACTCAAGTTCTAGGCTTTTGAAAAACCAAAAGTAGAATTAGTTCCACTTCGGTTACCGGTAATTGTTAAAAAGTTGATACAGAACTACAAATTTGATTATAATACCTATATATGAAATTTCATCAACCTAGCTGTAACAGTACTCAAGTTATCATGTTCACAGACATAGACATATGGACAAAATTGCAAAACTATGTTTTTTCGACTCCTGGGAGGTGTAAAACATTGATTAGTGAAGACTTAGATTTTTTTGCACGATTACAATACTTCCTCTTAACTTCGTATACGAGAAAGTAAAAAAGGAGGCATCTCATTGTTATAGTTTGTTGCTAATAATGACACTAAATTCCTTTTGCCATGAGGTTGGCTGTTGCTATCCCTAGTATTCTCTACCTACTGAGATAACGCTATTATCTAGTGACATTTTTATCAACCTTATACTACCTAATCCAAATCATATCTGCAAATTGATACTAATATTCTGATCTATTCAATGTGATGCCAACTGGCTAATTTAGCTTGGCTTACTTTACTCTAGCCCATTCACTGTGACACACTGTTGTCATGGTAAAACATGTCACATTGTTATAGAAAAGTATGTCATCATGTTGAAACATTGTTACAGAAAATTATGTCATCATGTTGAAACATTGTTACAGAAAAGTATGACATAATGTTAAAACAATGTTATAGAATAGTATGACATAATGTTAGATTAATATTATAGAAAATTATGTCATCACGTTGAAACATTGTTACAGAAAAGTTTGACATAATGTTAAAACAATGTTATAGAATAGTATGACATAATGTTAAAACATTGTTATAGAATGGTATGACATAATGTTAAAACAATGTTATAGAATAGTATGACATAATGTTAAAATAATGTTATAGAAAAGTATGACATAATTTTGAAACATTGTTATAGAAAATTATGTCATCATGTTGAAACATTGTTACAGAAAATTATGTCATCATGTTGAAACATTGTTACAGAAAAGAATCACAGACGAGTCCCCAGAGACGCTAACAAGACCTGGCATGCCAGAAGATGTCAGAGCTCTGATGACAAAAGTTCTAAAAGACAAGGTCAAGGATGGGCTGCTGGAAGATTGTTTGCTAGATTCAGGTTTGCTACACGTTTCTTGGTTTATCTCATCCACTCCACACAGTTGGTTGTATGATTTTAACTTCAGACAAATATTACTGTAAATATTTATTCATATGTACTTTTTAAACTACTTTTGTTACAGTAAAATATTTAATGTAAGATTTTATAGTTGTCTATGTTGTGTCGTCCACAGAAAATGACTTCTACCCCTGCAACACAGAAGCTCTGGCACCCAAGGATTACCTGGCATCAATCCTAACCAAGTGGAAACAGGCCATCAAGAAAAGTTTCTTCATGAAGAAAACTGGTAGTCCCTGTCTGCTTATAGTGACTAGCTCAGCTATACGGGCAGTAGAACTCAACAGGTCAGTGCCTTTTTTTTTGCCTGACATCCCATCTACATGGACTCTTATACAGGTCAATTTATACTAGTTTTGTATGCTGTAATTAAAAAATCTAATGTCTAGATTGTCTTTGTATGTTTTCCTGTGTTATATCTGTATTACTCTTGATGAATTTGATTTTTGTTTCATTATTTGGTTAAATATTTCTAACACCTTTTTGTTATTACACCCAGGCAAATAAAAGATTTCTTAGACAGCAGGTGTAAAGTTGCCAAACTTTTTGCCAAACATTTAAAGGTGAGGAGCTGCATAGTTCATTTAGTGGCTACTTCAGTCTGATAATAGCTATAAAAAAATTTCAAATATTATTTCATATAAATGTCAAGTTTAAAAAAACCAACTTCTTTCGTTCGCTACATTGCAACGCATGAGTTTAACCACACACTGTGGCTAGTCCTCTAGATTGAAATGCTGTACTGGACCAGGCATCAACTTAGTCTCCATACAAATTGAAGGATTGTAATCCAAAATTAGACATTTTATGCCCTGATAGGGAGAGCACTAGCCTTGCTATGTGACCAGATATAGGTGTCAACTATTTGTTCTGTACTCTGACATTTGCAGGTAGAAGAGCAAGTCAAGTTTTTATCAAAGACAAATTGTCAGGTTGGCATTGGAACACCTGGCAGACTGCTGCTATTAATTAGACAAGGTAAGTGCTAACGATGTTAAAGCCACAATAAGAAAACCTTGCATAAACATTTTTTTTACAACCAGTTACTTAGTGTACCTGCTTGCTCTTACAGCAGAGAGTATTAAATCTTAAGCTCATTTTAATTTGCCTTACAACTAAGAAGTTTAATAACTGTATGTAATGTTTAGGTGCCCTACAACTAGAAAGTTTAATGACCGTATGTAATGTTTAGGTGCCCTACAACTAGAAAGTTTAGTGGCTGTTGTGTTAGACTGGAACTGGAGGGACAGCAAGTTGAAGCGGATGTCGGATATTCCAGAGGTGCGGACAGACCTGGTGACTCTACTCAAAGATTATGTCATTGAAACAGTGCAGGCCTCGCCATGCAAGTTGGCTTTGTTGTGATGTCTGTCTGTGTGTGATGTCTGTCTGTGTGTTTGTGATGTCTGTCTGGTGGTTGCTGGTTGTTTGACGTGGGATGGTGTAAATGGAGCAAATGTACAATTTGTAGTGTAATTTTAATAAAAGTTATATACTATTCAGATTGATTTTATGTTTTTTTCTGTTCAAAATGAATTCATGGATTAATTTTCTGTAACGTCAGAGTATTTTTAAAGGGTCATGAACAGAGACCCGTAATAAAATGGAACCGTCACAGTCAGGACAACTACTAAACAAATTACTAATTTGTTTGTGTATTACGTTCAGGTTATAAAAACAACAAAATCCATTATGTTGAGTTAGATATCAACAGTTTTATTAAATCCAAGCTAGAGGCATCATGGGTATAAAAAGTTGACAACAGTTTTGACTAGCAGGTATTTGAGATTCACCGATAGACTTTGTACACTGATCAATTCTCTTAAATCATATCAATATCTGAACATGATCCTGATGTTGGTAAATTTCCTGTTACGATGGTACAAGTTTTAATATCACACAAGTGGTCTGGGTTGGTGTGTACATGTACACATATCAACAATCTCAATGGAATAGGCTTATAAAAATTCAAACTTTATAATACAAAATAGGAATGTAAAATTGTCGGAAAATTTAATCTATAAATAAAAAGTTTCTGCATCAGTCTGTAATAAATGTAAAAATTAGGAAAAAAAAATAAAAAATTGTAGAAATAAGGACCAGCTATTTAGGTAGTGACATTCTAAATATAAAACAATTGTAGAAATAAGGACCAGCTATTTAGGTAGTGGTATTCTAAATATAAAATAAATGTAGAAATACGGGCAAACTGTTAGCTAGTAACATGCTAAATATAAATGTCTATCAAAATTTATGATTGAAAATAAGAAACCGGTGGTTATAGGATGCTAAATCTGTGTGTAAATAGGGACCAAAGTGGAAGGGACTAAAGTTACAACATGAAATCTGTGTGTAAATAGTGTAGAATAGGTCAAGGCAGTTTTATAGTTTAAAAAAGTCTTCATATGGACCAATACACATATGTTGAGGTGTGTAAACAGTGGTAATTTTGGATTTAAAATTGGAATGCATAGGCACCATTGTTAAACATAGGGATCATCTTTAGTGCACATGGAATATTGTTAAAAGCATAGGGAACATTGTTTTAAGGCATAGGGAACATTGTTTTAAGGCATAGGGAACATTGTTTTAAGGCATAGGGAACATTGTTTTAAGGCATAGGGAACATTGTTTTAATGCATAGGGAACATTGTTTTAAGGCATAGGGAACATTGTTTTAAGGCATAGGGAACATTGTTTTAAGGCATAGGGAACATTGTTTTAAGGCATAGGGAACATTGTTTTGTTAAGGCATAGGGAACATTGTTTTGTTAATGCATAGAAAACATTGTTTTAAGGCATAGGGAACGTTGTTTAAAACATTGGGGCCAAAATTTTAGGCACTTGAAGTAATATATATATATATATATATATATATATTAGATATATACACATGCACTTAGATAGCAATGATGAAGGCACTGGTTAAACAATAGTATACAATCAAGTTGGTTCTAAATGTATAACTAATAAAATTATTTAACACAATTTTATGGTTACGTATAATACTTTGTGTAAATAATTAGGCCGATTCTAGTCGGAATAAGATACGCATGCGCAATGGAGAGAAACTACGACTTGCTTAGCGGCGATGTTTTCGATGGTACTGCGCATGCGTGTGTTTACAACCGCAGAACCCTAATACCAACCCTAATCCTATCCCTAACCCTAATCCTAACCCTAGCCCTAATCCTATCCCTAACCCTAGCCCTAATCCTAACCCTATCCCTTATCCTACCCCTAACCCTCATTCTAGCCCTAACCCTAGCCATAGGTCACTGCGCATGCGCAGAACTATCTTTTGCCGAAAAATCTTATTCCGAGTAGACACTTCGAAATAATTATGGTACTTTGATGAAATCTTAATTGTATTGAAACAATATATGTCAATATAATGTTGTTATCTAGCCAGCTGAAGTTAACATGTTTGTTTAATGTTTCGAAGTGACTACTCGGAAAAAGATTTTTCGCTCCAGCGTCTCCACCTGGTCGGCAAAAGATAGTTCTGCGCAGGCGCATTGACCTATGGCTTGGGTTAGGGTTCTGCAGTTGTAAACAAACACATGAGCAGTACCATAGAAAACATCGCAGCAAAGGCAAGTCGTAGTTTCTCTCCTTGGCGCATGCATATCTTTTTCTGGCTAGAATCAGCCTTAATGTTTATAATAGTTTATGGGCCTAATAAATAAATTAAAATGGATGTTGTCTGGATGAATGAATTATTAATGGTATCTGCATTGATAAAAAGTGCATACAACTATTAAGTACCTTACATAATCAGATAAGTTGTAATATAAGTAGTTAATTCCAAATATGTACATGACTTTGACAATGTTACAAATAAATGCAAAGTATCCAATACTGTAGTGTTTGTTCGTCCAATGGCTCGTCACTCAAGGGGAGATAACTAATACAGCAGCCGTACAACTATAGAACTCTTGTGCTTGTAGAAACTCAAAGAGCCAAGGGAGAATTTAAAAAAAAAACTTAATAAAATTATTCAATTATTCTGATTATATAGAAAAAAAAGTAGACTTTAAAAAATGGTTTTGATTTAACTGCTGTTTTGTTTATATAAACCTAAGCCGCGACATTTAGTATGACCGTTTCTTTTGAATCCACTTCATCGTCATCAAGCTCTGTCGTCGTGGTTTCTTGAGTCTGAAGTTTGGGCCTGAACGAGAAGGTCTGGGTCTCGTCCGGGCTAAAATCTCCAGTCCCACCCTCACCCTTGGCCGGCGCCTCGTTTTTCGGGTTGATGTCAGTTATTTTTAACGAACGGAAATTCCCGAAGCTCATGAGCTTGTCGCCGAGCCCGCTGATTTGCGGTTTTCTCCGGTAGAACGACCCTGACCTATTTTCCCGCTGCTGCTCGCGTCGGATGCTGGAGGTGGTGTGGTTGTAGTACATGACGAAGTTGTTGACTAGAACCGGAACCGTGAAGCCGATCATCAACACGCCGGCAATGCCGGTCGCCGTGCCGATGAGGTAGCCCACGCTGGTCTTGGGATACATGTCGCCGTAGCCGACGGTTGTCATGGTGATGACAGCCCACCAGAAGCACTTGGGGATGCTGGAGAACTCGGGCTGCACGTCGCTCTCCGCGAAGAAGATGAGCGAGGAGAAGATGAGCATGCCGACGAAGACAAACAGCAGGAGCAGGAGTAGGTCCTGTGGGGGAGAGGCACAGATTGAACCAGTGACTGGATGGGGAAGGGGAGAGCATCAACATTATAGAGGGAAGTTAATTCATTTTCATTGTTAGTTCCCCTGGTTATTCGAAATCAAGACAACGTTTGATCTGTTTCCAAAACACAGATATTAACTAGGGCACAAGTGTATCTCGTAGCACACACACAGACGAACACAGACACACCTACACACATATATAGCCCAGCCCACCACGTACGCCCACTTGACAAGCCCACCTTACCTTGATACTGGCCTTGAGTGTGTAGAACAAGATCCACAGACCAGGAATGTGCCGCATGAGCCGGAAGATCCTGAAGACACGGAGCACCTTGAGAAAGTTGACGTAACGCATGACCAGGCCGTACTGCACGGCGGATGACGTGAAGAGCTGCACCATGTTGTCCGTCAGGTCTGGCAGCAGTGCCAGGAACTCTATGACCGACATGGGCATCAGAACGAACTTTGCCTTGTGTGGGGACACCAGGAACCTGGCAACCAGCTCCAGAGTCAGGAAGATCAGGCAGGCGATGTCCAGGTAGTGGAGGGAGGGGTGGGTGAACAGGCCGTCTGTGGAGGGAGGGGGACGGGGGTTAGGTTGTGGGTAACTAGAGTGAGATGTGGAGCGTGTGGCTGGTATAAGGATACGTGACCGATCTATGGATATGTGAAGTGGCTACCCCTTGACTGCCGTGGATAAGATACTGATGATGTACTTGTACGTGTGGTGTTGTTGATGAATTAGTGGATATGGTAGCGTTGTTGTAATGTGGATAAGGTAGTGTTGTAATGTGGATAAGGTAGTTTTGTTGTAATGTAGATAAGGTAGTTTTGTTGTAATGTGGATATGGTAGTGTTGTTGTAAATGTGGATTTGGTAGTGTTGTTGTAATGTGGATATGGTAGCGTTGTTTGTTGTAATGTGGATATGGTAGTGTTGTTGTAAATGTGGATATGGTAGTTTTTTTGTAATGTGGATATGATAGTGTTGTTGTAATGTGGATATGATAGTGTTGTTGTAAATGTGCTGTTGTTACAAATGTGGATAATGTATTAATGGAGTACTACATTATTATGATTATTAAAGTGAATAGGATACATGATATTACAAAGAAATAACTTCTTTATCATTACACATGATCTATGAGTTATTTTTAGAATTGAATTCTAGTTTACTTATTTCCTCGGGTTCCTGTGACGTCACATTGAGTTCCACCAGCCCCTGCAGCCTGTGGGGGGCGGTGTGGTTGGTGCCGTGGACAACCCCGCGGTACAGGCCGGTGTGGGAGGGGGTGACGTCCCCGGGGTAGGGCGACTCTGTCCAGTTGCTGACTGCCCTCCATGGCTGGTCGGCACTGACCGAGGGCTGGGTGGTGGCCGGCCTGACGGTGTTGTGGGTGGTGGTTGTCCTGACGTCGGGGTGGGTGTTGGCGCAGAACGAGATGATGCTCAGGAAGATGACGGACAGAGAGATGAAGCCGTAGACCTGCGCAGTCAACACACACAACATCACGTGACTGGGTACATTTTTATGGTATCTTACAAAAAAAAACTCAACATTTTAATTTTAAGGGTATCTTTCAGAGTTTAGATTCCATCATTACAAAGAACATAAGCTAACTGACTTCACAATAATAGATTAGTTGTTTAAATCAACCAATCACAATCTTTGTTTGTAAACGTTTAGTTTTTGGAATCAATTTTGTGTTTTTTTTTTCTTTTTAAAAAATTACACTACACCGCCATAATACTGTATCCTTCTAGCATTGAACTAACTCAACCCCTAAGTGGGCGGGGCTTACCTGTGCGTAGACAGACGAAGACGGGGTCGAGAAAAATTTCCAAGCTTTTCGGCGAATTTCTCTACAAAAAGACGAATGTTCTTTGTACGGATATTCTCCCAGCTGTAGATTCGCATTTCTGTCGTCTTCCAGCTTGCGGAGAGCCTGGTAAACAAAATCAAAACATGGGAAATTCAGAAAAAAATAAACTTGTCAGAAGTGGGATTTGAACCCACGCCTACAGAAGTAGACTGCGACCTGAACGCAGCGCCTTAGACCACTCGGCCATCCTGACCTATGACAAAGGCCCATTTAATACCATCACATTCTTCTGTCAGATTATGCCTGTAGGGTTGGCATTGACCCACCTGTTTGGTTATCATTGACCCACCTGTAGGGTTGTCATTGACCCACCTGTAGGGTTGCCATTGACCCACCTGTAGGGTTGTCACATTGACCCACCTGTAGGGTTGTCATTGACCCACCTGTAGGGTTGTCACATTGACCCACCTGTAGGGTTGTCACATTGACCCACCTGTAGGGTTGCCATTGACCCACCTGTAGGGTTGTCATTGCCCCACCTGTAGGGTTGCCATTGTCCCACATGTAGGGTTGTCATTGACCCACATGTAGGGTTGTCATTGACCCACCTGTAGGGTTGTCACATTGACCCACCTGTAGGGTTGCCATTGACCCACCTGTAGGGTTGTCATTGACCCACCTGTAGGGTTGCCATTGTCCCACATGTAGGGTTGTCATTGACCCACCTGTAGGGTTGTCATTGACCCACCTGTAGGGTTGTCACATTGACCCACATGTAGGGTTGTCATTGACCCACCTGTAGGGTTGTCATTGACCCACCTGTAGGGTTGTCACATTGACCCACCTGTAGGGTTGCCATTGACCCACCTGTAGGGTTGTCATTGCCCCACCTGTAGGGTTGCCATTGTCCCACATGTAGGGTTGTCATTGACCCACATGTAGGGTTGTCATTGACCCACCTGTAGGGTTGTCACATTGACTCACCTGTAGGGTTGCCATTGACCCACCTGTAGGGTTGTCATTGACCCACCTGTAGGGTTGCCATTGTCCCACATGTAGGGTTGTCATTGACCCACATGTAGGGTTGTCATTGACCCACCTGTAGGGTTGTCACATTGACCCACCTGTAGGGTTGCCATTGACCCACCTGTAGGGTTGTCATTGACCCACCTGTAGGGTTGTCACATTGACCCACCTGTAGGGTTGCCATTGACCCACCTGTAGGGTTGTCATTGCCCCACCTGTAGGGTTGCCATTGTCCCACATGTAGGGTTGTCATTGACCCACATGTAGGGTTGTCATTGACCCACCTGTAGAGTTGTCACATTGACCCACCTGTAGGGTTGCCATTGACCCACCTGTAGGGTTGCCATTGTCCCACATGTAGGGTTGTCATTGACCCACCTGTAGGGTTGTCATTGATCCACCTGTAGGGTTGTCACATTGACCCACATGTAGGGTTGTCATTGACCCACCTGTAGGGTTGTCATTGATCCACCTGTAGGGTTGTCATTGACCCACATGTAGGGTTGTCATTGACCCACCTGTAGGGTTGTCATTGATCCACCTGTAGGGTTGTCACATTGACCCACATGTAGGGTTGTCATTGACCCACCTGTAGGGTTGTCATTGACCCACCTGTAGGGTTGTCACATTGACCCACCTGTAGGGTTGCCATTGACCCACCTGTAGGGTTGTCATTGCCCCACCTGTAGGGTTGCCATTGTCCCACATGTAGGGTTGTCATTGACCCACATGTAGGGTTGTCATTGACCCACCTGTAGGGTTGTCACATTGACCCACCTGTAGGGTTGCCATTGACCCACCTGTAGGGTTGTCATTGACCCACCTGTAGGGTTGCCATTGTCCCACATGTAGGGTTGTCATTGACCCACATGTAGGGTTGTCATTGACCCACCTGTAGGGTTGTCATTGACCCACATGTAGGGTTGTCATTGACCCACCTGTAGGGTTGTCATTGACCCACCTGTAGGGTTGTCACATTGACCCACATGTAGGGTTGTCATTGACCCACCTGTAGGGTTGTCATTGACCCACCTGTAGGGTTGCCATTGTCCCACATGTAGGGTTGTCATTGACCCACCTGTAGGGTTGTCACATTGACCCACCTGTAGGGTTGCCATTGACCCACCTGTAGGGTTGTCATTGACCCACCTGTAGGGTTGCCACATTGACCCACCTGTAGGGTTGTCATTGACCCACATGTAGGGTTGTCATTGACCCACCTGTAGGGTTGCCATTGTCCCACATGTAGGGTTGTCATTGACCCACCTGTAGGGTTGCCATTGTCCCACATGTAGGGTTGTCATTGACCCACCTGTAGGGTTGTCACATTGACCCACCTGTAGGGTTGTCACATTGACCCACCTGTAGGGTTGCCATTGACCCACCTGTAGGGTTGTCATTGACCCACCTGTAGGGTTGTCATTGACCCACCTGTAGGGTTGTCATTGACCCACCTGTAGGGTTGTCATTGACCCACCTGTAGGGTTGTCATTGACCCACCTGTAGGGTTGTCACATTGACCCACATGTAGGGTTGTCATTGACCCACCTGTAGGGTTGTCATTGACCCACCTGTAGGGTTGCCATTGTCCCACATGTAGGGTTGTCATTGACCCACCTGTAGGGTTGTCACATTGACCCACCTGTAGGGTTGCCATTGACCCACCTGTAGGGTTGTCATTGACCCACATGTAGGGTTGTCATTGACCCACCTGTAGGGTTGCCATTGTCCCACATGTAGGGTTGTCATTGACCCACCTGTAGGGTTGCCATTGTCCCACATGTAGGGTTGTCATTGACCCACCTGTAGGGTTGTCACATTGACCCACCTGTAGGGTTGTCACATTGACCCACCTGTAGGGTTGCCATTGACCCACCTGTAGGGTTGTCATTGACCCACCTGTAGGGTTGTCATTGACCCACCTGTAGGGTTGCCATTGTCCCACATGTAGGGTTGCCATTAACCCACCTGTAGGGTTGTCGCCCAGGTTGAGTACCTGCTCCAGCAACACTCCTCAATGTCCGCCTCGTCCAGTCCCCAGAACTCCAGCTCTGACTTGACCACCGGCCCACACACGGAGGTGGGGAGGTGCAGCTCGCCCGTGCGGAAGTGGTTGAGCACGCAGTGGAAGATCTCAGGGTCACGGTCGAAGAAGTAGTCATTAGACTCGGTCCGGAAGTGCCTGGCCAGAAACTCGTTGTTGGCCAGAGGACTTTTGGGGATGGCCCTGAAAATAAAACAACGCTTAAACGTTTGAACTCCCTCAAATAGGGGTATATCTGATAGCTTATAGATTGTGTCAAATGTCATACACACCTCCACCCGTTTTTCTCTCATACACACCCCCTCCCCGGCAACACCCTTCCCACCCCCCCCCCCCCACACACACACATAACCACACAAAGATCAAAACAGTGCCACGTTCTTTAAGCGACGAGTGATTCTAGATGCCATCTCGAACTTTCTCTAGCGCAACATAACCAGACACACAGAAAGCTTAGAAACCCAAGTCAAGAATCAACACGAATAACCGCCAAAATAATCGTATCAGACGACACTTGCCTATGTCGTCTGCCAAAACCTTTTTTCATTGAACTATGTTCTGTTGAACTATGTTTTGTTGCAATCTGAGTCGAATGGCAGTTTGGTCTGTGCAACAACCTGTTTTTTTACAACCTGCCAACTCAGGGGCCCTTGTGTCACATGTATCATGTCCGTCTATGCACGGAACAGAACCACGTGTTACATTGGGTCATTGAAGCAGACTATCGCGTCCTGACTGAGTTTCAACTTTCAGTCTTTTATTTATCGTGTTCATGTGTCAGTATAGATTGTCAGAAGTCATTGTGACAATGTGACAGATTTTGCTGTTGTCTAGCAGTGGCGGAACTAGAAAAAAAGGGCCACCCCGCAAAAAAATGTTAGCCCCCCCCCCCCCCCGTATATATAAATACACACACACACTCACACACACATACACACACACACACACACACATATATATATATATATATATATATATATATATATATATATATATATATATATATATATATATATATATATATTATTTATTTATTTATTTATTTATTTATTTATTTATTTATTTATTTATTTATTTATTTATTTATTTATTTATTTATTTATTTATTTATTTATTTATTTATTTATTTATTTATTTATTTATTTATTTATTTATTTATTTATTTATTTATTTATTTATTTATTTATTTATTTATTTATTTATTTATTTATTTATTTATTTATTTATACCAACAAAAAATATACGAAGATAGGATACTCATTTCTGGCCTGATCGGGTTTTGAAAGAAAAATGTGTTTGCTTTTCAATTAAAACAAATTATAACAACATGTGTGTGAGTGCATTAGTCTGTTTGTTTTGAAAACCTCTTCTTTTATTTTATTTCTGCTGTAATACATCCGATCATCGAGCTATTTAAAAGAATATGAAATATGAAAGCTTTATAGGTCTATGTGTAATTGTTTCTCGTGTTATTTTTATTTATATATATTTTTGTATTTATATTATTAATTTTAAATACATTGCCTTTTTTGTACTATGTCGTTCTCTAGTATGTATTTTTTAAAATAATAATTAAAGAAGTAATTGCTGTTTAATTTGTTTAGTACAAATCTATTAAAAGAAGCTCATTAGCACCCCTATCTGACTATTTAGAAAGGGGAAATAAGTCGTGGAAGTGGTCTCTCGCGCAATAAATTTTTTTTCCCAAAAAATTTTGCCGACAACAGCGTGTGTTAGATTATAGGAGAAGGAGGACTCGGCTTTCACAATGGTTTAAAAATAAAGGGATAAAGAATATACAAGAGCGTGGGATGGTTTCTATAGAATAAAGATTACCCAACCGTAGCTACAGTATTCTTTATACAAACAACCATCGAGTCAAAACTGCAAGAAAATTATTATTTTTTTAAATATATAAAATTGATTATGGTCAGTCGTGAGCCCTCTAAAATCTAGGCCTGTGTATAGAATTTTTTAGCTAAAGCTAGGCCTTTGTCTAGAATTTGTGAGCTAAAGCTAGGCCTATGTCAAGATTTTGTGAGCTAAAGCTAGGCCTGTGTATAGAATTTTTTAGCTAAAGCTAGGCCTGTGTCTAGAATTTGTGAGCTAAAGTTAGGCCTATGTCATAGGCCTATATATAATCCGAGTAATCTCAGAAGATTGTCTGATTGAGTGGCTAAATAGAGTGGAAAAATAAAATAAAATAGTTTTGTATTTCTAGTGTAAAAACTAAACAGTTACTGCAATAGTAATTTTATAAAGCTAAAGCAAAATGTCAGTAAAAAAAAATACTAAATTGTCAGAAGTGGGATTTGAACCCACGCCTACAGAAGTAGACTGCGACCTGAACGCAGCGCCTTAGACCACTCGGCCATCCTGACTTGATGTTACACTGTGTATCTTTATTTGTAGTAGATACCAACTTTATACTGAGACCGCCATGAAAGCTGTTTTTTCAAAGCTTGCCTCTGCTGCAGTTGTGCCTTCATGTGCAGTGAGGTGGAACGAATACCAACACAGCGGCAATTTTAGAACTCTGAGGGGGCTGATTAGTTGACAGAAATTAATTAGAGGGTTAGCACATTTTAAGATTCTCCGTGTCATGAAGGTGGTAATGATGTCATAGAGATGGTAAAGTTGTCCTAAAGATGGTAAAGATGTCCTAAAGATGGTAAGGTAAAGATGTCCTAAAGTTGGTTGAGATGTCCTAAAGATGGTAAGGTAAATAGGTCCTAAAGTTGGTAAGGTAAATATGTCCTAAAGATGATAAGGTTATGATGTCCTTAAGATGGTAAAGATGTCTATAATTAAAACGGCTTTTAATCCGAGTAATGTCAGCAGATTGTCTATGATTGAGTGGCAAACTTGATAAATTAAAAAAAAGTTTTGAATTTCTCGTGTAAAAACTAAACAATTACTGCAATGGTAATTTGATGTTTTAACAAAGCTACAGTTACTGCAGTGGTAATTTGATGTTTTAACAAAGCTACAGTGGCTGTGCTTTGTTTTTTTCATCCCTCAATGGTCTTCAACAACTCGTGTGGCTGTAGGAATCTACGTAAGCAATTTAAATAGTGGAGTGTTAACAAATCGCAGGTGGCAAAAAATAAATAATTTGAATTGTGTGTGTGGGGGGGGGGGGGGGGGGGGAGGGGGTGGCTGTAACCCAGATGGTAATCAATTAGGTGGAAGGGAATTTCAGATGAGGGGAAAATAGACAAATGGATTCATCAAATAGATAAATCAAATAGATTCATCAAAAAGATCCATAAAAAAGATCCATAAAAAAATTCGTTAAACTTGAAATAAGGTTTCGGCTACTAAGTCTACTAACAATACGATCTCAAGTATTGTCGGTTTCTACAACCTTTTCGTATTTTGTCATTCCGCGTCTCGCAGTTTAACCCCCCCCCCCCCCCCCCCCTTTTACAATTTTTAACAGCGTGACAACAGACAAATCACTGTATTCCAATATATCTTCACACATACTAATACACATCTTCATTATATCTTCACACATACACATCTTCAAGTTATCTTCAAACGTACACATCATCAACATATTATTATCCTCACACATATTCAGGTTATTATAAATGTCTTTCTATTTTGGATCGTTACTTGAAAAATATTCTGCTAAATTGATTTTATACGTAAATTATTTATAGACTAGAATATTATTGTCGAAATATGTAAATTAAAGCAAATTTTACAATACGGCTAAAAAAAGGTTGTCAGAAGTGGGATTTGAACCCACGCCTACAGAAGTAGACTGCGACCTGAACGCAGCGCCTTAGACCACTCGGCCATCCTGACTTGTAATTACCATTGATAAACATCGCCTTAAAAGATAGCAAAACTAAAGATGCAGAATTATCAATGTTATGCGGAATGTAACGTGACTTTTGATAGTTCGCTCATCCTAATCACTTTAAAAGGAAATGCATGATCTAACTATAGTACTTCTCTATGATTTGGCTACCGACCTCAGTGGCTACCGACCTCATTGTAATATTGTACGTCTGAGGCTACCCATCTGAGTAGCCCTATATGTGGCTACAAACTTAAGTATAGCCCTGTAGCCCCTACGTCTCAAACACCTGACCCCCATCGTGGCTACCCACCTGAGTGTAGCCCGGTACGTCTCAAACATGTGACCCCCCACGTTGAACTTGACTATCTCATTACTAGTGCTGGTGTGGACCCGGATCTTGTTCGTGTTTTTGTCCAGGCGCGCGCCGGGCAGGAGCGCGTGCAGGATGCCGCCATGTTTGCTCCTGGGGGAGTGAGATACCTTTGGCATCTTGCCTCTCTGATTCAGAATTCTTAGCTCAATATCCCAGCTCACTTAGCTCTGTTATCCTAGCTCAGTAGTCTTATCTTCGTTGCATTAGCTCAAAATCCTTAGCTGCGTTGCATTAGATTTGTGTGTCACGAAAGAGATAAACAATCTGGTATAAGCTCCAGCCTAGACTAACGCAAGTCTCTCCCAGCCCCTTCACCCCACGTAGGACATCCTAAACCATCCTTGTACAGTTCCATGTCAAGGAAACAAAAGCATGGCCAAACCAAGCCAAATTTTGGCTGGACAGCTCAGAGCTCGCTTCATTTTAGGACAATTGTTCTGGCAACTTTTAGACGTCTGACTCAGGGGCGACAAGCCTGCCAAAATAAAATAAAATTTGTCCACATTAATACAGTTACTCGGAGATTCAATTCGCAAATGTAATTGATTACATACAGGAAAATAAAAGTTTCAGGAAATGTAATTGATTACATACAGGAAAATAAAAGTTTCAGGAAAATGTAATTGGTTACATACAGGAAAATAAAAGTTTCAGGAAAATGTAATTGATTACATACAGGAAAATAAAAGTTTCAGGAAAATGTAATTGGTTACATACAGGAAAATAAAAGTTTCAGTAAAATGTAATTGATTACATACAGGAAAATAAAAGTTTCAGGAAAATGTAATTGATTACATACACGAAAATAAAAGTTTCAGGAAAATGTAATTGATTACATACACGAAAATAAAAGTTTCAGGAAAATGTAATTGATTACATACACGAAAATAAAAGTTTCAGGAAAATGTAATTGGTTACATACAGGAAAATAAAAGTTTCAGGAAAATGTAATTGATTACATACACGAAAATAAAAGTTTCAGGAAAATGTAATTGATTACATACACGAAAATAAAAGTTTCAGGAAAATGTAATTGATTACATACACGAAAATAAAAGTTTCAGGAAAATGTAATTGATTACATACAGGAAAATAAAAGTTTCAGGAAAATGTAATTGATTACATACAGGAAAATTAAAGTTTCAGGTAGAAAAAAAAAGTTTTTTTTTTTTAAAACATGACTTTTTCTCCAACTGGGAATGTAAATGGCCCCGGTGTAAATGAGAAATTTATTGCAATGTTTATTTTTCATTTCAGTGCACCGATCTTGACAAATGCCGACATGTAGTATGTTCCTGACACAGCCTTTAGCGTCACGTGACGGTAGTGGGGCGGCGACCCAGGGGACTAGAGGAGGGTGGGGGTCAGAGCTGTTAGTGCTGTTGGTGGGGTCAGGTTTAAGTTGGGGTGGGGGTGAGAGGGGGTGGGGGGTGTCAGATTTATGACCGTGTTTTATTGTCCTGGATTATTTTATAAACAACTCACCAGGACACTTTTTGAAAATTTCACCGACATAAAAAAATGTATTTATATGGTTTTAAAATGGCTATAAATCGGTCATGCAGAAGGTGTGCAATATAACATTGTAAAAACTTTCTGTAACACCATAAGAAAGTGTTGTGAAAATAATTCTTTAATCATTCTCAATGAGGCATCCACATTTCCCATAGTTGGGGGGTGAATAAAGGTTTTAAGAGGGACAAATAGGGATCATGTCGTGCACAACGGTTGTCTCGAGTTACGAACGTCTCGAGTTACGAACGTCACGAACTGGGGAAGTCTTGTGTAACAAATATTTCGAGCTTAGACTGTCTCGAATTACGAACGTCTCGAGTTACGAACGTCACGAACTGGGGAAGTCTTGTGTAACAAATATTTCGAGCTTAGACTGTCTCGAATTACGAACGTCTCAAATTTACTAGTCCCGCATGTATGGTTTGATGTATCCCCTGATACAGATCAACCCTCCACATGGACTGACAACATAGTGGCTCCATGTCCCTCCCCACAATGGGAAGAATATTTGGTGTGACGTGAGAATGTTTACACCGGATGTCGCCTAGCAACCAACCAGCTAGCATGTAAGTAAGGTGGGAACGGTCCCTAAGATCCGACAATCACCGCATTCATCTCCCGACATAAACAACTACACAACGGTTATTTGAGCTTTCATTCTGAACAGGCGCATACTGGCAGGTGTGTGTGTGGGGGGGGGGGGGGGGCATACAGGCAGGTGGGTAGGGGGGCAGCCTAAGGTCAAACTTGCCTGAGAGTGACGTCACGTGATTAATTTCTAGTCTAGGGAAATAATAACATGCTCCGTGTTGTGTCTAAGTCAGCGTCTCTCACACGGTGGTTTAAGTTTGGGGTCTATCGCGTGGGGTCGTGCAGCTAAACTTGGGGGTCTATGGGGTCATGCAGCTAAACTTGGGGGTCTATGGGGTCATGCAGCTAAACTTGGGGGTCTATGGGGTCATGCAGCTAAACTTGGGGGTCTATGGGGTCATGTAGCTAAACTTGGGGGTTTATGGGGTCATGTAGCTAAACTTGGGGGTCACTGGGGTCATGTAGCTAAACTTTGGGATCTATGGGGTCATGTAGCTAAACTTTGGGGTCGTGTGGGAACATGTCGTGAAGAAAACTGACAATACGTATTTTAAAAATATGTTGACATTCTCTGAGAAACAAATTTTTGAACAGGTCAAAGGTCACGTGGGTTAACAACGCGAGGGGCCTTGACCTTGCAGCACATCCCAAGTTGTCTGATCTCGAATCAGGGGCATCAGCACAAATCGACAGAATATCTCCCCCTTGACAAAATAGTGTGTGCGTGTGTTTGTGCGTGCGTGCGTGTGTGTATTAACCATATCATGTTTGCTTACAAATGGCGTGTGTTAGTGTGTTGCTTTGATAGAAATACTTGTGCACAAAAAAACAACTTTAAACAGGCCACTCCTGTAGCTCAAGCCGCGACCGATAAGCCTGCTATAATAAAAAAAAAATGCTGATTATTTCCCTTGTATAAAAGTCGTCACAAACTGGTCTATCAAAGAACTCATTGTGTCGACAACGCTTGACACTTGCCTAAAGCATGAAGACAAACAGCTTGTATTACAATTGTGGATAATAGAAAGATAGAAAGGGCCATACTTGAAGAAAAGCGAAGACTTGATACAAGTATATATTATATATATATATATATATCATATATATATATATATATATATATATATATATATATATATATATATATATATATATATATATATATATATATATATATATATATATATATGTAACTAGGTGTAGTTACCAGAGACGATAACAACGCAATAGTGCAGGTGTTAGGCTGATAACGATCACAAAGCCGCTGCGCAGTTCACAGGCTGACGTAACAGTGCAGATCGCTTATTAATCGGACTGTATGACAGAAGCGGCGTAATTAACATTCTGATGCAACGATTAGAATCGATTACGATTACGATTACGAATCCGATTACGAATACGAAGGGATATATAGGAAGGCGACGGCTGAGATCAGAGGGACAGAACGAGAGATCAGTCAGTCAGTCAGTAGGAGAGTGGCAGTATCAAGTTGGTTATTGAACGGGTTAGCCGTATTGTGTTAATAAGGACGATAGACATGTGCATTCAGTTATGTGAAGACTAGTGAGGACTGTTGGGGGTCAGTTGATTCCGACTATTATTGTGAAGCATTTCTTTTGATTCATTATATTATTGTGAAACATTTCTTTGATTCATGAAATAAAAGGATCAATAGTGAACCTGCATCTTCGAGTATCTATACTGTGGTCGATGTTGTGTAGAATGAGTGGTTAGACTCGTTAACATTTGGCACTACAGGCAAATAGACTCGTTACATTTGGCGTCGTCGGCAGAGGAATCCAATTAGACCAGCCGCTTTAGGCACCCATAGTCAACCTAGTTCATAACTGTGTTTAGTGTGTGTGTGAATTCGGACATTCAGGAACAGTGAAAATTGAGGAACGAGGAAAATTTTTCATACACACACGGTAAGAAAGGTCTTTTTTTTTTATTTGAAGGAAATAAATAAAAGGGAAAACTGAAATCAGAATCGAGGAAATTGAAAAGAACAGAGATGAGACACCTTTCATTATCATTCTGGCTTGGTGTCACATGCTCTTTTGCTGCTGCAAGCATGTGGCTCAGTATACCCCTAGTTGTAGCACCAACTACCCTGGGGACAGCTATGGGGCTGACCATCAGCATCCAGATAATTGGCATTGGTATCTCCAACTTGGTTGTGGGACAAATACTAGGCAAAGATGACAACCAAGATATAGATGTAACTCTTAGATACTGGAAATGTGTCATGATCTCCCTGTTGGGCAACACTATCTGCTGCATAGCTGCAGCATTTTTCATTGGTGTGAGTGGCAGACGCGGGAGTGATATTTTAGATATCGGAAAGGGACAGAGACTCCTGCTGGCCCAACAATCTGAGTCAGATAAAGATAGCCCAGAGATAGGCAACGGTGAAGATGACCCTTTGCCTCCAGATGGACCAGGACAAAATTTGGACAAAAAGCCGATCCATATTGTGGTCCTGCCCAGTGAGTCCCACATCAACAAATTTTACGGGGACGGTGATTCAACCTTAACCAACAGGTTCAGTGAAGAGGTCAGGGCTGCCTGGGCCTCGAGATACATGTCACCAGGGGAAAGATTAAGACTGCTGATGGGCAGTATAGGGGAGACGGTTAGGGCAGAGGTCAAATGCCACGATAAAACCATCCAATCAGATCCAGATAAGGTGCTGGATCTAATTATGGAGACCTTTGGGGAGAGACGGTCGGGATCGCAACTGCTAGCGGTGTTCGTAGGCTTAAAGCAGAGAATGGCGGAGAGTGTGATGGAGTATTCACACCGAATGAACGGGGCCTTTCAAGCTGTAAAAGGCAAAATACCCGACATGGATGCGCGCCTGCTGAGGGACCATTTCATCGAGGGGCTGGCGACCCCTATGGCAAGAAGATATTTGAAAGAAGAGGTCTACAAAGACCCACAGTTGACCTTCCTTCAGGTCAGGAACTCAGCGATCCGCAGGTCCGAGGATGAGGACCAATCGAACTGTTCGGTAGACAAAGTCTCGGTGCCGGAACAGAAACAATCCCCACCCACAGGGACCGGCACGATGGAAACCATGATGGCTCAACTGTTGGCCCACCTGGATAAGGTTGACCAACGATTGGAGAGGTTAGAAAGCAGGTCAACAGCAGAGAATCAAGGCAAAAACGGGACAAAACATAGTCAGGTTGGACAGCCGCGACCTGCTGGTCCATCGCTCCGGTGGACGGCTGACGGTCGACCAATGGGCCTGTCCTGCTCTCAACACGGACATGTGGCACGGTACTGTCCGGTGAAACGATCGCCCTCTGTAAGGCAAGACAAGGCTACAGAGTGGCGAGGTTATGGCTTAAGAAACAAAATGGG